TTTTGGGGGCTGCATCACCCAACTCTTCTTCCTTCACTTGTGTGCTTCAGCGGAGATCTTCCTTCTGACCATCATGGGCTATGACCGTTGTGTTGCCATCTGCTACCCTTTGCAGTATGTAAACCTGATGAACATGAAGATCTGCGCGTGCCTGATTGGCACTTTGTGGGTGGGGGCAACTATCCATTCCCTGATCCAGACTGTCCTCACCATTCATCTCTCTTACTGTGGCCCTAATGTCATAGACAGTTTTTTTTGTGATATTCCTCCACTCATGAAGTTAGCTTGCACGGATACCTACTTTATTGGGGTTCTCATAATATCCAGCAGTGGTCTGATGTCCCTACTTTGTTTCGTGATCTTGATAGCTTCTTATGCCATCATCCTTATCTCACTGAAAGGGCAGACAGCTGAGGGTCGTCACAAAGCCTTCTCCACATGTGCTGCCCACCTACTTGTGGTGGTCTTGTTCCTGGGACACTGTATTTTCATCTATACTCGCCCTGCTTCCAGCTTCCCAACAGACAAACTGGCTGCTGTCCTTTACACAATGGTGACCCCTTTCCTCAACCCTGTGATCTACACCTTGAGGAACAAAGAGGTAAAGCATTCCGTTAAGAAACTCTGGAATCAGAGGCAGATCTTGGCCAGGAGATGAGTTGGCCATCTTCCTTGTGTAGAACAAAATAAGTCAGCGTATGGAAAGAGACAATTTTACGGAAAGATTGATTATGTTCAGGCAGATGAGATATCTTAGTTTTGTACAAGAAGCCCATTCTTCTGTATCTGGAGACCTAAGAAGCCTGCTAAGTTTCCATATGAAGGTGCTGTAATAAGTGGACAATTCAATATTTCATCCCTTTGGGACATGGACAAGCTAACTGACTAAAGACTATCATGCAAACAGTTGGTGGCAAAAGCTTTAAACTAGGATCCTACATTGCCTTGAAGATGGATTGGATTTGTCTCTATAGGTAAGAGAGAGGGAAGAGGCAGAGATAAGAGACCAAAGAAATTACTGAACGAAGAACATATTTTGGTTTTGGTTTTTTTTGCCAACCAAAGAAAATGAACGACTTTGGGTGCTGAACACAATCTTCAGTTTTAACACTGGACAAAAAGCAACATTATTGGCTTTTAGTAGCTGTGGTCCAAAAAGTTGTATTTTAATGTATTAATGCACTGTGATATAATTCTATGTAATATTGATTTACATATTTACAGTATGATTATTTATAATTGGGCCAACTGCTTTTTAAAATTAGGTTTGCTTGTTTGACATGTATTCCCACCAGAATCCAACAACTGTTGACGACTTTCATACTGTACAATATAATAAATATTTTAAGAATCTATGGTCTAAGCAGAAATACTGATGATGTTACCTAGTTGGGTCATGAAACTTCTCCAAGGAAACAACCAAATTCAGAGAACACCAAAGACCAACACCAACACCTCCTCCTCCTTCTCCTCCCCCCTGCAAACCCACTACCCCAGCGGTTCTCAACCTGTGGGTCGCGACCCCATTTGGGGTCGAACGACCGTTTCACGGGGGTTGCCAAACAACACAGTCCGCCATTTCCCCCCCTTTTCTTAGCTGTGCTACTCCCTTTTATTCTATTGGCTTTTGAAAGCCAATAGAATAGACTTTCTTGAATAGAGTCTAATTCTATTGGCTTTCAAAAGCCAGTAGGAATTGTCCAGGCTGTCTCTGCCCTGCTGAGCCTGCCAAAAGTCCCATTCTGCAAACAGTGCAGCAAGTTGTCTGCAGCGAAGGCGAGCTGTCTCGAAGCTTCCACCCCTCCCTGCTGAGCAATTACTAAAAATGTAAGTAAAAGAGGGCCAGGGGTGGGAGGTGGGAGGCCGGTGGGCGCAGGGAGGGCTGCTGGCCCGTGTGGGGCCTGGCGGGTGCCTTACCTCCCTTGGGCTGGGCCAGCTGGTGGCCCAGCCAGTGGTTGGCCTGCTCTGTCTCTGCCGCTTGCCAGCTACGCCTCGGCTGGCGCAGGGGGCGGCACCACACATGCGCAGCGCTCCCGGGCAGGGAAAGTCCTCGACTTACAACCGGTTGGGCAGTTCTCAACTTACGTCTGGTTTAGTCCTCGACTTACGACCGGTTGAGTAGGCCTCGACTTACGACCAGTTGGGGGTCACGGCATTAAAAAGGTTGAGAACCGCTGCACTACCCTCTAGCACTGATGGTGTTACCTCCTTGTGTCATGAAATTTCTGCAAGAAAACAACTAAGCTCAGAGAGCATCAAGGACCCCACAGTCTTCCTCCTCCTCTCCACAAATCCCACTCCCTTCTAACCCTGATGATGTTACTTAGTTGGGTCATGAAACATCTGCAAGAAAACAACCAAGCTAATAGAGCACAGAGGACCCCCACAGTTCATTCCTGAGCTACAAATATTTTCTTCTATCAATATTCTAACTTTCATTGGCATCTTGGATAGCAGACAAAATGTGTTGACCTCTTAACTGGGCAGTGTATGGGGGTGGTGGGGGTGGTGGAGAAGAGATTATGATGAGGCTGATTGGCAGTTAATAGCAATTTTGTATTTATTATCTGAGCAACTACTAATAAATGTCGATCGCTTAGTTCAGGGGTCTTCAAGCTTGGCCCCTTTATGACTTGTAGACTTCAACTCCCAGAATTCCTCAGCCAGTGAACCTGGTTTCACCCATTTACTTTGCTCAGAAGCCATTTGGGAAAGTTGGGACACCGCAAAAGGTTGTGAGTAATGCCAGTTGCCAAATTTTGACCACTTGACCATGGGGGTGCTGCAATTGGTTGAATGCGTGAAAAAACTGGTCACGTCACTTTTTCCAGTGCCGTTATAACTTTGAACGGCCACTAAACAAATGGCTGTAAGCAACTCGTGACATTTAAATATCCTTTTTTAGCTCTTCATGGCTGCTCTATCCTGTGTTAGTTTGCACCGTATCACTTGCTGTTCCTTCCAGTTGATGGTGGATCCCAAAATGCAGAAGCTATAATGAAGATACCTTCATTATCATTTCTAAGGCTGGTTGCTCTCCTTTAATGAACTCATTAATCAAAGAGATTCCTATTGCTCTTTCCAAGACTCTATAACATACTACCCATTTGTGCATTGAAGACAGGGAATTTTTGCTCCAGACTTAGGCTATGACATAGGGCTAACATACACAATGAAACATGGTTCAGTTAAGTGGAGGAAAAAGTGCAAAGAAGAGCAACAAAAATGATCAGGGGACTGGAGGCTAAAACATATGAAGAACAGTTGCAGGAATTGGGTCTGTCTAGTTTAATGAAGAGAAGGACAAGGGGGGACATAATGCTGTGTTCCAATATCTGAGGGGCGGCCACAAAAAAGAGGGAGTCAAGCTATTCTCCAAAGCACCTGAGGGCAGGACAAGAAGCAACGGATGGAAACTAACCAAAGAGAGAAGCAACCTAGAACCAAGGAGAAACTTCCTGACAGTTAGAACAATTAATCAGTTGAAACAATTTGCCTCCAGAAGTTGTGAATGCTCCAACACTGGAACTGTAACAACAACAACAACAACAACAACAATAATAATAAAAGTTGGAAGGGAGCTTGGAAGTCATCTAGTCCAACCCCCTGATCAGGCAGGAAACCCTATACCATTTCAGACAAATGGCTGTCCAGTCTCTTCTTAAAAACTTCCAGTGTTGGAGCATTCACAACTTCTGGAGGCAGGTTGTTCCACTGGTTAATGGTTCTAACTGTCAGGAAGTTTCTCCTTCGTTCTAGGTTGCTTCTCTGTTTGATTTGTTTCCATCTGTTGCTTCTTGTCCTGCCTTCAGGCACTTGGAAAATAGCTTGACTCCCTCTTCTTTGTGGCAACCCCTAAGATATTGGAACACTGCTATCACGTCACCCTTCGTCCTTCTCTTCATTAAACTAGACATACCCAATTCCTGCAACTGTTCTTGATATGTTTTAGGCTCCAGTCCCCTAATCACCTTTGTTGTTCTTTTCTGCATTCTTTCTAGACTCTCAATATCTTTAGTACTGAGAGTAGTAACAGTTGCTACTATTAAGCAAGGTACCACCTGTACTATACCTGTGCATTTGGCTTTTCTTGCCTAAATGTAGAACCTTACTTTTTTCATCATTGAATTTCATTTTGTTAGAATATAATAGAATAGAATCACCTTTGTTGTTCTTTTCTGCATTCTTTCTAGACTCTCAATATCTTTTTTACATTATGGTGACCAAAACTGGATGCAGTATTCCAAGTGTGGCCTTACCAAGGCATTGTAAAGTGGTATTAACACCTCACGTGATCTTGAGTCTATCCCTCTGTTAATGCAGCCTAGCACTGTGTTGGCTTTTTTGGCAGCTGCAACACACTGCTGGCTCATATTTAAGTGATTGTCCACTAGGACTCCAAGTATTATTATCCTTCTAACAGTTGCTACTATTAAGCAAGGTATCCCCTGTACTATACCTGTGCATTTGGTTTTTCTTGCCTAAATGTAGAACCTTACTTTTTTCATCATTGAATTTCATTTTGTTAGAATAGAATAGAATAGAATAGAATAGAATAGAATAGAAAAGTTGGAAGGGACCTTAGAGGTCTTCTAGTCCAACCCCCTGCTCAGGCAGGAAATCCTATAACATTTCAGACAAATTGTCCAAACTGGTTTATTCTGAAAGAGTCAAGTCCAGATTGATCTGTGTTCTTTATTTGCAGTGAACCTCTGAATGTCATTATGGACCTATGCCTTCTGGTACAATTAATTTTGCCCATTAATTCTTACCAAACTTTGCTTCAAACTTCTGATACTCTTGGGGAATCTTTAATTAAAGATTCAAGCTCCGTGGTGTATTAATTACAATTAGGATCTCCAATCTCCCAAGATCTTCCCTTTTTTTCGGTCCTCCTTGAGTTTCCAAGATACCTGGAATGTAATTCATCGCTTATTTTCAGAGAATCTAAGGTTTTATAAAAGAGAAAGAGCCAAGATCAGATGGTGCTTACGAAAACCATCTCCCCAGCTAGCTGAAAAAAAAACAAAGATGGACAAAGAAGAACTCCTAAAGCTTTCTGTGTGATCTTCACGTTTCTTACCATGTCAGGTAAACCCACTCTCTTTCTTACAACAATTTAAATCTGAATCATAAAGTTATATATTAATAAGCAGATTTTTGATCACTTATGGGAAAAGAAAGGTGAATGCAAGCAAGACCTTGGAGGTCTTCTAGTCCAGTTCTCTGCTCAAGCAGGAGATCCTATACCATTTCAGACAAGTGATGATTCAGTCTTTTCTTAAAAACTTCCAGGGATGAAGCACCCACGGCTTCTGGTGGCAAACTGTTCCACTGGTTAATTGTCCTTGCTGTTAGGAAGTTTCTCCTTTATTCCAGGTTGCTTCTCTCCTTGATTAGTTTCCATTCATTGTTACTTGTCCTGCCCTCTGGTGCTTTGGAAAATAAATTGACCCCCTCACCTTTGTGGCAGCCTCTCAAATACTGGAATACTGTTATCGTGTCCTCCCCTAGTCCTCCTTTTCTCTAGACTAGCCAAACCCAAATAGTTATGACTAGCCAAACCCAAGTTGTTATGGGTCATAGATTAATATTAGAATAACAGAGTTGGAAGGGACCTTGGAGGTCATCTAGTCCAACCCCCTGCTCCTGTTTCCAGGATGGCTTTGCGGGCCACATGAAACCATTTCGCGGGCCGCATCCGGCCCTTGGGCCTTGTGTTTGACATGTCTACCCTAGGGATTAATGATAGTTGATGGCTTAGCCCAGCATACAAACCCAGCTAACCATGTCTGTTAACAAACAGTGGTTCGAACAAACCACATATAATGGATTGGTTTCTTCCTCTATCGCACTCAATCAAAAACGAAGCAGATCATTATCGGGCTCAGGGACATGTATGAACCCAGACTGGAAACATCTTGAAAAAGACACATCTCTTTTTAAAGACATGAGATTTTGGCACCACGATAATGAAACTCATGTCTTGATGAAGAAGGAATCAGAGTTATAGAGTAATTTGGAAGAAGATTCAACAGAATTTGGAAGAGCCCTTCCAAGGTTCAGCAGAAACAAAGACAGCTTAGACAGCACAGAGAAGGTAAATCCTGCCTATGACTTGTACGTTTACATGTCCTTTCCCATTCATGAAAGTCTGTTCATGGCCACTACGTAGGTTCCAGAGTTGTTCAAATTACCCCAGAGACTTTCTTTTTCCATATTACAGTTTTTATTAATTTATAATATAAAATGCAAATAGATGAGCAAAAGCAAATAGTAGGAAAAATAAGGGAGGGAAAGGGGAAAGGAAAAGTGTAGAAAAGAAGGGAGAAAACAGCAAAAAAAAAAGGTGTTGACTGTTGACTGCCTCTGGTGCAGTAAAATAAGACAATAACATCAAATCTCAACTTTTTTACTTTAACACAATCGTATAAACTAGCTACTTCTATAAAAACAAATCTATCTAATCAGTCAAAGCCAAAATCAAAGTTTAATTTTTTTCCAACTCAAGCACAAAGTCCAGAAGCGGTTTCCAAGTAGAAACAAAAGTAATTGTGTTTTTTTTCCCCCCTTTGATAAAGCAATCAAGTTAGCCAGCTCTGCTAGCTCCGTCAACTTTTGCAGCCATTCCTCAATTTCTACACCTACACACTTGGAGATGTTTTGAGCAAACTTTATTATTTCTCTTTGTTTAGGTTGAATGTATGGACTTCCATCTGTCCTGTTCCAATGGCGGAGCCGAACCAGACAGTGACCCATTTTGTGTTCTTGGGACTGACTGATAATCGGAGTCTGGAGCTGTTTCTATTTCTCATCTTCTTCATCATCTACCTGCTTACCTTAGTAGGAAACCTCTTGATTGTGGTGACAGTGGCTTGTGACCGATGCCTCCACACGCCCATGTACTTCCTTTTGGGAAATCTGTCCTTTCTTGACATCTGCCATTCCTCTGTCACGGCACCCAAGATGCTCCTGGACTCTGTCTTCAGGCAGAAGATCATCTCCTTCGGAGGCTGTGTGGCACAATTCTTCTTCCTCCACATCTGTGCCTCTGCTGAGATCTTCCTCCTGACCATCATGGCCTATGACCGCTGCGTTGCCATCTGCTATCCATTACAGTATGTGACTCTTGTGAATCTGAAGATCTGTGTGTGCTTGGTGGGTGCTCTGTGGATCGGGGGCATCATCCATTCTCTGGTCCAGACTGTCCTTACCCTTCGCCTCCCTTTCTGTGGTCCAAATGTCATCGATAGCTTTTTCTGTGACATTCCTCCAGTCATGAAGTTGGCTTGCGCTGATACATACTTCACTGAAGTGCTGATGATATCCAACAGTGGTGTCATCTCCTTGCTTTGTTTCTTGGCCTTAGTGTCTTCCTATGCCATTATCTTTCTCTCCCTGAGAAAGCAGACAGCTGAGGGCCGTCGCAAAGCCTTCTCCACATGTGCTGCCCACCTACTGGTGGTGATCTTGTTCTTAGGGCCTTGCATTTTTATCTACACCCGCCCCACTTCCAGCTTTTCCACCGAGAAGATGGCCGCTGTCTTCTATACTATGGTGACCCCTTTCCTCAACCCTCTGATCTACACCCTGAGGAACAAAGAGGTGAAGAACTCCTTGAGAAAACTCTGGTTCCGGAGGAAGGTCTTCTTCATAAGCAAAGGGGTTGGTCAACTTGCTTTGGTGGAAAACAACTCCGTCAAAAAGGAGAAGACAATTCAGTGCAATGAAGGATCTCAATGAAGTCAAGTGAGGTATCTTAAGCTACAGTTGTTTTGTAAGTACAGGTAGTCCTCAGCTTACAACCAAAACAAAAATTTCTGTTGCAAAGCAAATCAGTTATTAAGTGAGTTTTGTCTCACTTTACAACCTTCCTTGCCATCATTGTTAAGTGAGTCACTGCAGTTGTTAAGTTAGCTACACAATTGTTAAGTGAATCTGGCTTCCTGCTGACTTTGCATCTTCTTCTTGTTGTTGTTAATTGCGAAGTCATGTCCGACCCATCGTGACCCCATGGACAACATTCCTCCAGGTCTTCCTGTCCTCTACCATCTTCTGGAATCCATTTAAGTTCACACCTACTGTTTCAGTGACTCCATCCAGCCATCTCATTCTCTGTCGTCCCCTTCTTCTATTGCCCTCAATCTTTCCCAGCATTAGGCTCTTCTCCAGTGAGTGCTTCCTTCTCATTAGGTGGCCAAAGTATTTGAGTTTCAACTTCAGGATCTGGCCTTCTAAAGAGCAGTCGGGTTGATCTCTTCTAGGACTGACCGGTTTGAACGCCTTGCAGTCCAAGGGACTCGCAGGAGTCTTCTCCAGCACCATAGTTCAAAGGCCTCAATTCTTTGGCGCTCAGCCTTTCTTATGGTCCAACTTTCACAGCCATACATTGCAACTGGGAAAACCATGGCCTGGACTATACGCACTTTTGCTTTGCCTCTTACAAGGTTGTAAAAGGTGATCACATGACACCAGGACACTACAACTGTCATAAATATATGCCAGTTGCCAAGCATCCGATGCGACCATGGAAAGGGTGCAACGTTCGTAAGTGTGAAAAATGCTCATAAATCACTTTTTTCAGTGCTGTTGTAACTTCAGACTGTTGGAATACATGTTTGAATGTATTTTTGTATTGCAACAACTACAGATTTATTCAGCCAGTATATGGCAGGGTTTACTGTGCATCAATGGTTATAATCTATGATTTCTTTATTTTCTGAGGGGAGTTTCCTGATTCCTGTTACAGTATGCAGTGTTTCTCAACCTTGACAATTTTAAGGCATGTGGACTTCAACTCCCAGAATTCCACAGCCAGCATTGCTGGCTGTGGAATTCTGGGAGTTGAAGTCCACATGCCTTAAAATTGTCAAGGTTGAGAAACACTGATCTATAGAGTTGAGCAGTAAAGCACATGGTGACTGTAGTCTTCGTTGGCTCTGTGGTGCTATATATATAAACAGAATTTCTAACACAAATGGTCACTAAATGAATGGTTGTAAGTTAAGGATTACCTGTGCATTTAAGGCCCGCTTTTCTGCATTTGGAGACATGGAAAACCAACAAGCTATGTGAAGTTTTTAGGGCATTTGTAAGAAGTTATTAATTTCTTTAAAAAGCGAGGCAATAGTTTTGGAGCATGACCAACCCAAAGGCCTGAAATCCGTCCTGGAAACAGTTCTGTAGGAAAAGGACAAAACTACACTTTAATATATAAGGTGACCAACTTTTTTACAATGAAAAGGAGGACACAAATAAATTGAAGAAAAAAATACCATAAATAAAAGAAACATTGTATTTATTGCAACTATAATACAGAATACGCTATAATATGATAAATGCATAATGAAAAACATTTGTAACAATAAAATTTTATATTGTAATTATGCTTACATGCCTATTAATTATTATTTAAATGAGTACTGCACGGGGTGGGTGGCAGAGGCAGGTGTTGCGGGCCAGGCGCTCCAGGACGGCCACGTAGGCGTGCAGGGTGAGATGGTGGCAGCACAGGTCAGCACTGCGTAGACCACCAGCTGGCGTGGCCCATGGAAGGTCAACTGCCCGCCGCGCCCCCGCCCACAGCCGCTCCGCCAGCACCGCTGCCCTGCCGTGGAGAGCCGGCCCCGCAGCTCGCAAAGCACCAGCCGTGCCGGCTCTGGCCCTGCAGCCACCCCCCCAGCTGCCCCCAGCACCACTGCCCCCACCCTGCGCATCCCCGTAGAGCCAGCCCCACGGCTCGCAAAGCACCAGCCACGCCAGCTCTGGCCCTGCAGCCACCCCCCCAGCTGCCCCCAGCACCACTGCCCCCACCCTGCGCATCCCCGTAGAGCCAGCCCCACGGCTCGCAAAGCACCAGCCACGCCAGCTCTGGCCCTGCAGCCACCCCCCCAGCCTCCCCCCCCAGCACCACCGCCTACCCTTTGCATCCCCGTGTAGAACTGAACGGGGAAGATCAAGAGAAACTTACCGCTCCAGTCTCCTCCAGCTATCTTCGGAACTAAGTAGGAGATGGTGTAGTTGGGTAGCAGTGAGGGGTGCAAAGTTCCTGCAAAGTTTGCTGCCTGGATGTTTTGGCGTGCTCAGCAGCAATTCCTATTGGCTTTCAAAAGCCAATAGTGGGAATAGCACAGCTCATGCAAAAGTTGAAAAAAACCATCAAAAAAGGTCCCGAAACGCCTTCTGAGCGTTCTATGAGTAAAAAAAAGCCCTGCAGATTAGTCTTCAAATATGAAAAAGGAGGACATCTAGTCTTCAAATATGGAAAAGGAAGACATCTAGGAGGACACTTTTTGAGGGAGGACAAAACTTAAAAAAGGAGGACTGTCCTCCCAAAAGGAGGATGGTTGGTCACCTTATTATATAGGACTTGATAAGAACTGGTGAGCTGTCCCTTCCTAGCTAAGCTATAGGGAAGAGATGGAGTTTAGAAAGGAATCAAGGACATATATTTTGTTCTAACCAAAATAGGTATAAATGAATATTGGGGAAATAAATCTCAAAGATCAACGATGAAAGAAAAGGTCATTTGTGCTAGACCCCATAACACTAGTAGTCTGAAAAAGCTGGAGGACCACCAGACTGTTGAATGTTGTATGTTTAAATTCATTCTGTATTTTATTTTTATTCTATATTCATGAATATGACTCTGAGATTAATTTGTAATAGGACCCATTGCTTTCTTCTTTAAATGTTATTTAGGTTGTTGTTTATTAATTGTTATACTTATAGAATATACAGAATAATACAGAAGAACAGAGTTGGAAGGGACCTTTGGAGGTCTTCTAGTCCAACCCCCTGCTCAAGCAGGAGACTCTGTACCATTTCAGACAAATGGCTGCTCAATCTTTCTTAAAATCCTCCAGTGATGAAGCAGCCACAACTTCTGTCTAGTCTCTCCTTAAAAACTCCCAATGTTGGAGCATTCACCGCTTCTGGAGGCAGCTTGTTCCACTGATTAATTGTTCTCACTGTCCACAAATTTGTCCTTTTTTTCTAGGTTGGTTCTCTCCTTGATTAGCTTCCATCCTTACTTCTTGTCCTCACTTGGAATAGTGCATCCAGTTTTGGTCACCACGATGTAAAAAAGATGCTGAAACTCTAGAAAGAGTACAGAGAAGAGCAACAAAGATGATTAGGGGACCGGAGGCTAAAGCATATAAGGAACTGGAATTGGGTATGTCCAGTTTAACGAAGAGAAGGACGAGGGGGGACAGGATAGCAGTTTTCCAATATCTCAGGGGCTGCCATAAAGAAGAGGGAATCCAGCTACTTTCCAAAGCACTTGAAGGCAGGACAAGAAGCAACGGGTGGAAACTAATCAAGGAGAGAAGCAACCTAGAACTAAGGAGAAACTTCCTGACAGTGAGAACAATTAACCAGTGGAACAACCTGCCTCCAGAAGCAGTGAATGCTCCAACACTGGAAGTTTTTAAGAAGAGACTGGAGAGCCATTTGTCCGAAATGGTGTAGGGTTTCCTGCCTGAGCAGGGGGTTGGACTAGATGACCTCCAAGGTCCCTTCCATCATCATCATCATCATCATCATCATCATCATTATTATTATTATTAAAAATATTGGAAGACTGCTATCAGTTCTTGTTAATGATATTACTTATTGTAATACTGTTTTTATGAAAAGAGTCTGGAGTTGGAAACTTATCCAGCATTCTTCATATAAACATAAAATTTAATTGCATTGTGCTAGCATTCAAAAAGCTAGTTCCTGGAAAATTAAAATATTGAAGGGCATCTAAAATACTGGAGACAAATTTATCAGATTTGTCAAGGAATTCCTGGATACCCAAAATAACTTTCTACTTCTGTTTTTAAAATTATGCAGTTCAGTGCCATGTTACACTGTTCTTAAATATACCAGTATTTGAAATTAATTTATGATATTGAGTTCACTTCACTACATATCCTTAGTATACATTATCTCTTACACACTTGAATAGTAGAAATAGCAGGAGCACTTTTTCCTATGCTAATAAGTGGCTGCACTATAAAAGAATGCCAAGCAACTTGATTATCGATACAATAATGCACTAAATTGTACTTTCACAACTAAAACATGAAGTATAAGTATAACCTTAATGACCCATAATATTTAAAACCGTCATTTGAACTGGCATATAATTAACGGTCAATTTCTGCAAAAAATATTTATTCACGTCAGCTATAATTACACTTTGCTTAAAGGACCACACTAGCAAAATTAGAGTTGATAGAAGTTTACATCAGTATAAGGACTCTAAATTTTTTGTGTGAAAAGTGATAGCTGGGGGTTGATTCATCCTGTAAATCAGTCGGGAAGAAATTGTGTCATCTTTGACAAATAAGCCTAGTATATTTTCTTAGTCAAGGCAATGAAGTGACAGGAGTAGGAATTATAGAAGGAAGAGTATCTTTGACATACAAGGATGAAGAAAACAGGACAAGAATAAGAGAAATTAAGAAAATCTGGGGGAAAATGCTTTAAGAAAGAGCAGAGGGAATAGATGATAGATGATGATGATTGAAAGATAGATAGATAGATAGATAGACAGACAGACAGACAGACAGACGATAAATGATGGCTAGATGATAGATATATAGATGGATGGATGGATGGATGGATGGATAGATAGATAGATGGATGGATGGATGGATGGATGGATGGATGGATGATGGATGGATGGACGGACGGATGGACGGACAGACAGACGATAAATGATGGCTAGATGATAGATATATAGATGGATGGATGGATGGATAGATAGATAGATAGATAGATAGATAGATGGATGGATGGATGGATGGATGGTGGATGGACGGACGGACGGACGAACGGACAGAAAGACAGACAGACGATAAATGATGGCTAGATGATAGATATATGTATAGATAGATAGATAGATAGACAGACAGACAGACAAACAGACAGACAGGGGGAGAGAGAGGGAGGGAGAGAGGAGGGAAAGAGGGAGAGAGAGAAGGGGAGAGAGGGAGAGGGAGAGAAGAGGAGAGAGAGGGAAAGAGGGAGAGAGTGGAGAGAGGAAGAGAGAAGGGGAGAGAGGGCGAGAGAGAGTGGAGAAAGAGGGAGAGAAGGGAGAGAGAAAGAAAGAAAGATTATTTTGTATTGCTTTTCTTGAAACAGCATTGTGTTGCTGAAGTGAAACCTTGGAACTGCTGGTGGAGAACATTTTTGTCTCCACACAGGTAGTCCTCAACTTACAACCATTTGTTTAGGGATAATTCAAAGTTAGGACACTGGAAAAAAATGATTTATGACCAGTTTTCACACTTAACATTGTTGCAGCATCCCCACGATCACGTGATCAAAATTCAGACGCTTGGCAACTGGTTCACATTTATGCGGTTTCCGCGTCCCAGGGTCACGTGATCCCCTTTTGCCACCTTCTGGCAAGCAAAGTCAACGGGAAAAGCCAGTTTCACTTGACAGCCATGTTATTAACTTAACAACTTCAGTGATTCACTTAACTGGGGCAAGAAAGGTCTAAAGTGGGGCAAAACTCACTCAACAGTTGTGTTGAGACTCTAGAAAGAGTACAGAGAAGAGCAAGAAAGATGATTAGGGGACTGGAGGCTAAAACATATGAGGAACAGTTGCTGGAATTGGGTATGTCTAGTTTAACGAAGAGAAGGACAAGGGTGGACATGATAGCAGTGTTCCAATATCTTAGGGTTGCCACCAAGAAGAGGCAAGAGTCAAGCTATTCTCCAAAGCACCTGAAGACAGGGCAAGAAGCAATTGATGGAAACTAATCAAAGAGAGAATCTAGAACTAAGGAGAAACTTCCTGACAGTTAGAACAATTAACCAGTGGAACAACCTGCCTCCAGAAGCGGTGAATGCGCCAACACTGGAAGTTTTTAAGAAGAGACTGGACAGCCATTTGTCCGAAATGGTGTAGGGTTTCCTGCCTGATCAGGGGGTTGGACTAGATGACCTCCAAGGTCCCTTCCAACTTTACTACTATTATTTTTTTTCCAATTTTTATTATTTTATTTTCATTACAATCATAAGAAAAAAAATTCAGATACATAAGAAGTTAAAATACAACACACAAATTCCGACATTGCTCACCCATTTCCCCCCAGACCGCATCCCCCTCTCATCTCTTCACTTCCCCCTTCCTTCTACCTCCTCCTCTCCTCCCCTCCTTCTCTCCTCCATCTTTCTACTTACTTATCCCTCTCCTCTTCTTCTCAATCAGATGCAGTCTGAGGGAAAATGCCCGAGCAATCCTCTATCACCAAAATTTGAACTATTGAAAATACTACCCATACTCTCCTCTCCCCCCTCCCCCCACCCCCTTCCCCCCCCACTTCCCAGAGCTCAATACAGGGTTACAAAAAAAAAAGAAGAAAAAAAGTAAAAAAAAGAAAACTAAACATAGTCAACTTAAATTTACTACTTATACAATAAGCGGAGTCCTAATAACCCTTAACTCTCTGCAAACTTGAATTCATAATTTAGTAAAAATCCATTATTCATAAAATAAATGAAACTTTGTTGTTCCATACTTCTTCTGAATATATTCTATCCATCTTCTCCATACAGAAACATATCTCTTTTGTGAATGGTCCTTTAAGTAAGCAGAAATTTTAGGCATTTCTGCTAAGTTAGAAACCTTGAACACCCATTCTTCCAAAGAAGGCAGAGAATCTTTTTTCCAATACTGACCCACCAATAGTCTTGCTGCTGTTATTAAATTCAGCATTAAAATAGTTTCTTTAACATCAAAATCCACAAAAATTCCCAAAAGAAATAATTAATAATAATAATAATAGTAGCAATTATTTCCAACTTTACTACTATTATTATTATTAACATCTGCCTCACATAGCAACAAAAATTTGGGGCTCTATTGTGATCACATATCGAGGACCTACCTGTATCAATGACCTTGAATAAAAGAGAAGGGAAGATGTGGTTCACCGGATTTTATTATTCTCAATTTCCAGCGTTAAAAGTTTTCATTTTGGATGCACTTCCTCAAATTAGTAATATTAGAACATTTTGTTTTACAAATTCTATGCATGGGAATATTGTTTGTTTCAGCTTAGTAACTGATGGTCTCAACACTGATCTAGATGAATAATTAGGTCAGGGATGGATTTTTTTTTTTTTTTTAAATGCCCATCTAACAACTTTCTGCAACCTGGCTCACCTCATATATATTAATAAAATGCAGCCTTAGTAAGACTGCACTTGGAATACTACATCCAATTCTGGTCACCACAATACAAAAAGATGTTGAGATTCTGGAAAGTGTGCAGAGAAGAGCAACAAAGATGATTAGGGGGTTTGAAGGCTAAAATATACGAAGAATGGTGTCAGGTCCACATTTGTGTCCTGCCATTCTTTTGCGGGAGGGAAGGGTTGTTGACATTTTTTGGAGATGCTTTTCCTTTGCTGTAATGCTTGGGAATTAAGGAGAGATATTGTCTTCAGAAACGTGGCAGACTCCTTCCCAGCTGGTTCCAGCCTGGTTGCAAAGGCCATTGGGCCCTGAGAGTGACATGTTATCTGTCTAGCACCTCAGCATTCTCAAAACAACTTTGCGGCATCATATTGGCTGCCGGTGGACTGGTTGGGGAATTGGGACTGGGGAAAATGAAAAAAAAAATAGGTTTATGCTTTGCCCGGGACCTTCATATTCTGTCTGACTTTCTTGGAACCACTTTTTCTCAGTAAAAGTTCTTTTGATTCAACCATATGGATTCAAGACTCTTGTGTTTCTGAAGGACCAGCTGGGGCAGGTGCTTACAAACAAAGACATGGAATTTTTGCTCCAGACCTATAAGGCTAACATACACAATGAAACATGGTTTAATTAAGTGAAGAAAAAGTGCAGAGAAGAGCATCAAAGATGATTAGGAAACTGGAGGCTAAAGCATATAAGGAACGGTTGCTGGAATTGGGTATGTCTAGTTTAACGAAGAGAAGGATGAGGGGGGACATGATAGCAGTGTTCCAATATCTCAGGGGCTGCCATAAAGAAAAGGGAGTCGAGCTATTTTCCAAGGTGCCTGAAGGCAGGACAAGAAGCAATGGATGGAAACTGATCAAGGAGAGAAGCAACTTAGAACTAAGGAAAAACTTCCTGACAGTTAGAACAATTAACCAATGGAACAACCTGCCTCCAGAAGTGGTGAATGCTCCAACACTGGAAGTTTTTAAGAAGAGACTGGACAGCCATTTGTCTGAAATGGTATAGGGTTTCCTGTCTGAGGAGGGGGTTGGACTAGATGCCTCCAAGGTCCCTTCCAACTCTATTTTTCTATGTTCTATGTTCTAACTAGCTCCAAGAATTCTCAGCAAAGGCCATATTGGATGATTGATTCTGGGAACTGAAGTCTACATCGCAGGAAGGTACCCAAGTTGGCAGGTGACTGTCACAGGAAAATCATGGACGATTGTACTTGGTGGATGTGATGAACGTTAAATAAAAGCTCAGTTCTTAGACAGTTCAGCTTAAACCATGGCGTTTTGTAAATGTAAGATTCCTTCGGGATTTGGAAAGCTCAGAACTCATGGAAGGGCCAAGCACTGTCCATGTAGCATCTAGAAGTTGTGGGTCCTTCAACACTGGAGGCTTTTAAAAAGAGATTGGACAACCATTTGTCTGAAACGGTATAGGGTTTCCTGCTGGAGCAGGGGGTTGGACTAGATGACCTCCAAGGTCCCTTCCAACTCTGTTTTTCCTGCTGGTAGTTTTTACTGTCAAAAATAGAATTGGTTAGTCATGGACTAAGAGAGCCGAGGTGGCGCAGCAGTTAGAGTGCAGTACTGCAGGCCACTTTAGCTGACTGTGTTCAGCAGGTCAGCGGTTCAAATCTCACCGGCTCAAGGTTGACTCAGCCTTCCATCCTTCCGGGGTAGGTAAAATGAGGACCCAGATTGTTGGGGGCAATGTAAATATATATATACATTGCTTACTGGTGTACACCGCTTAGAGAGTGCTTGCACTTAAAGCGGTATATAAGTCTCATAAATAAATAAATAAATGGACCTCTGAACGTCATCATGGGATCCTTCCTTCCAACGCAATATTTTTTTGCTCCATGGTTGTTACTAAAACCTGTCTATAACCTTTGGCCCTCTTGAGAAAACTTTAATTAAACACTCCAGCTCAATGGTGAATTCATTAGCGTGCAGATTTCCAATCTGGAAAAATCTTCTTTTATCTTCAATGCAGCCTGTGATATCACCTCTATGCAAGAGAAATTATTAAGACAGAGCCCCTCCAGGCTCTTGGCTTGCTAGTGGATGTCGGCAGCTTATTTTTAAGCTTTTATCGCCCAATCCACTATCCTAGCTGGGATACCCTCACTGAGTAGATTGTCTTCAGGAAAATGTGAGTACTTAACTATGATTGTACATGAGCATGGAGATAGCTGCAAAGATGTGCATAAGGCTTAGAGGTGAATAAAAATAACCGAATAACAGGAAGTAGATAGTAATAGTAGTAAAGTTGGAAGGGACCTTGGAGGTCATCTAGTCCAACCCCCTGCTCAGGCAGGAAACCCTACACCATTTCGGACAAATGGCTGTCCAGTCTCTTCTTAAAAACTTCCAGTGTTGGAGCATTTACTGCTTCTGGAGGCAGGCTGTTCCACTGATTAATTGTTCTCACTGTCAGGAAGTTTCTCCTTAGTTCTAGGTTGCTTCTCTCCTTGATCAGTTTCCACCCGTTGCTTCTTGTCCTGCCTTCAGGTGCTTTGGAAAATAGCTTTGGAACTAGGTTGGGAAGAAGTCATCTGGACAGGGGGAATAATTGGATGAATCTCTGTACATCCGAAAAAGTTGGATGAACACAACAGAATAGCAGAGTTGGGAGGGACCTTGGAGGTCATCTAGTCCAACCCCCTGCTCAAGCAGGAAACCCTATACCATTTCAGAGAGATGGTTGTCCAATCTCTTCTTGAAAACCTCCAGTAATGGGGCACCCACAACTTCTAAAGGCAAACTGTTCTACTGGTTTATTGTTCTCACTGTCAGGAAATTTCTCCTTAGTTATAGTTTGGTTCTCCTGTTGATTAATTTCCATCCATTGTTTCTTGTCCTGCCTTCAGATGCTTTGGAGAATAGGTTGACCCCCTCTTCTTTGTGGCAGCCTCTCAAATATTGGAAGAATGACATCATGTCTGTCTGTCTGTCTGTCCGTCTGTCCGTCTGTCTGTCTGTCTGTCTGTCTCTCTCCCCCTCTATATATCTATATTTAATCTATATCTATATCCAGTGCTTTTTTTGTAAAAAAAAAAAATGTGCCGGAACTCACACATATCATACAAGCTGCCTTGCTTACCCTACAAGGTTTACCTTTGTAGTTGAAAAAAAACCTCTTTCAATTTTTAGTGAAAAGACTAGATTTTTGTTCAAGGCAACTCTGGAAAATCCATTGAAAAAAGATGCTGGAACTCTGTTCCGGTGCGTTCTATGACAAAAAAGCCCTGTCTATATCTATATCATCTATATCATCTATATCATCTATATCTATATCTATATCTCTCTGTATCATCTATATATATCTATATCATCTCTCTCTCTTCTCTATTTCTATCTGTCCGTCCATCCATCCATCCATCCATCCATCCATCCATCCATCCATCCATCCATCCATCCATCTATCTATCTATCTATCTATCTATCTATCTATCTATCTATCTATCTATCTATCTATCCCATGTGCTGTTCAGCTTGAAAAGATCTGGAAACAACAAATTTGTGTAAAATTTCTTTTCAGCTCTAGGGTGTATTAAACAATGATTTTCAAACGTGAGTAGTATTTCAGATCTACTCATTCATTAGATGTTGACCGCCAGTTGATAGTCATATTGAAAAAAAAAGCTATTGATACAAGGCAGAAGCTGAGGCAGAAATTTGCAGTAGCAAAAGTGTGTTTGTCTCAACATGCCTGAAGCCTGTCCTCAACAGTCTTTAGAAGGCAGAGACTTTGATCGCTGAACAAGGCAGATCCATTGAAAATCTGAAAAAAACCCTTGTAGAAACCTTTGATAAACATATCACAGTCTTTTGAAGTAATCTGGCAATGTACATCTGGCATGTGCACAAAGAGTTGTAGACATGAAGCAGTGGAGGGTCTACAAAGGAAGATTATTAGGGGACTGGAGGCTAAAACATACGAAGAATGGTTGCAGGAATTGGGTATGTCTAGTTTAATGAAGAGAAGGACGAGGGGGGTCATGATAGCAATGTTCCAATATCTCAGGGGCTGCCACAAAGAAGAGGGAGTCAAGCTATTCTCCAAAGCACTTGAAGGCAAGACAAGAAGCAACGGATGGAAACCAATCAAGGAGAGAAGCAACCTAGAACTAAGAAGAAATTTCCTGACAGTGAGAACAATTAATCAGTTGGAACACAATTTGCCTCCAGAAGTTGTGAATGCTCCAACACTGGAAGTTTTTAAAAAGAGACTGGACAACCATTTGTTTGAAATGGTATAGGGTTTCCTGCCTGAGCAGGGGGTTGGACTAGAAGACCTCCAAGATCCCTTCCAACTTTTCTATTCTATTCTATTCTATTCTATTCTATTCTATTCTATTCTATTCTATTCTATTCTATTCTATTCTATTCTATTCTATTCTATTCATATCCCATCTGCTACTGAAGTAAAGAAGTGGTTACGGGGTATATATTCATATTGAGGAATGATATATAGGTGTGTATTTCTACATATGTACATTTGGAGGTATTCTGAAACAAATATATTGTTTCTCTCTCTTTAGGTTGAATGTGTGGACTTCAGTCTATCCCACCGCAATGTCAGAGTTCAACCAGACAGTGGCCCATTTTGTATTCTTGGGACTGACTGATATCCGGAGTCTGGAGCTGGTATTATTTATCATTTTTTTAATCATCTACCTGCTTATTTTAATAGGGAATATCCTTATCATAGTGACGGTGGCTTGTGACTGCTGCCTCCACACCCCCATGTACTTCTTGTTGGGGAACCTCTCTTTCATTGACATCTGCCATTCCTCTGTCACTACACCCAAGATGCTGCTTGACATCTTCTTCTACCCAAAGGTCATCTCCTTTGGGGGATGTATGACCCAACTCTTCTTCCTCCACATGTTTGCTTGTGCCGAGATCTTCCTCCTGACCATCATGGCTTATGACCGTTGTGTTGCCATCTGCTACCCATTGCACTATGTGAAACATGTCAACCTGAAGATTTGTGCTTATTTGGTGGGTGGTTTGTGGGTGGGCGCGAGTGTCCACTCCGTGGTCCAGATGGTTCTCACCATTCTCCTCCCTTACTGTGGCCCAAATGTCATAGACAGCTTTTTCTGTGATGTCCCCCCAGTCATCAAGTTGGCTTGCACTGATACGTACTTCACCGGCGTTCTCATTGTATCAAACAGTGGCATGATCTCCTTGATGTGCTTCTTGGCCTTGGTGACTTCCTATGTTATCATCCTGTTCTCACTGAGAAGACGGACAGCTGAAGGCCGTCGCAAAGCTTTCTCAACTTGTAGTGCCCACCTACTGGTTGTGGTCTTGTTCCTGGGGCCATGCATCTTCCTTTACATTCGCCCTGCTTCCAACTTCTCCTCAGACAAACTGGTAGCTGTCTTCTACACCATGGTTACTCCTGCCCTCAACCCTGTGATCTACACCCTGAGGAACGAAGAGGTAAAGAAGTCCATGCAGAAACTCTGGCTCCGGAAGAAGATCTTTTTTACAAGGAGATGAGTTGGCCAACTAACTTGTCAAGAAGATAGGACAGGAGAATTCACCGGAATTCAGTCAGATAAGTTATCATTTACTGCAGATGTGAGCATTTTTGAAAGTTGCTAGTCTTCCCTATATTGGAAGATTGGCCACTGGGAATAGTACCTCAAGTTTCCAGGCATTTGTAAAGTTTATGAACTTTATAAACCCAGCAAATGATGTCCCATCATTTTGGAACATGATGAAGCTAACTATCTAGGACTGTTTGGGAACAGAGCTTGCTGGAATGGGAAACGGTTGACACTACGATCCTGCCTGAAGCCTGAAGAGCAACCTGTGATGTCTTCCTCCAGATGTGAGAAAGGGGGGCAAGAAACAGAGATGAAGGGAGGGGTGAAAGGAGAGCAGGCATAAGAGGGTTATTTTTGCCAGCCAAAGTGCATTCAGATGAAGATCTATGGAGATTCTCCATCATCCAGGTCATGGTTGTCCCAAAGGTGCTTTTTTCATGAGGCAACTGGACTTTCTTGTTTTTCTTGAAGATGTTTCACTTCTTGGATGAGGCTGAAAAAGTACAATTCTAATTTATTTGAAATATATATTAAGGAAATATACCAGTGTTTATTTTCCATTTTCAACCACAGTGCCTTTTTAGTTCAACGCAGTTCATGCAGCTTCGGTTTCATTTTGCAGTAACACAGATTTAAATGTTTTAATATGTTTTACTAAGTTGTTTGACATTCACTTTTAAAACTATTGTCATGCTCATTGATTGCATGCATACTTCCATAGTTCATCAAATGGGTGTTATTGTAGATTTTGATGTTAAAGAAATTAATTTGATGTTGAATCTTATAACAGCTGCAAGATTACTGGTGGGGCAATATTGGAAGAAAAATATTTTGCCTACTACGGAAGAATGGATACTTAAGGTGTCTAATTTAGCAGAAATGGCAAAAATCTCCACTTATTTAAAGGACCATTCACAAGAAAAATATATTTCAGTTTGGAGAAGATGGATTGATTATATTCAAAAGAAATATCAGACTGAAAAATATTATCTTGCTTATGAGTAATTTTTAGATTATTATTAATAGTTTAATACGACTGAATTTATATTACTTTATTTTATATAATATTTTATATTATGTTATTTGTAGTATTAGGGTTTAATTATATAATTATAGAATCATATAATTATTTTTGTTTTCAATTTGTTAATCTTTATTTTGAAGAGGAGTTAAAGTATGTTATGGATTTGATTAATAGTATAGTTGGGTAATGTTATTTAGATTATGTTTGTTTATTTGTAACCCTGTAATCAGCTCTGGGAAGTGGGGGAGGGAGGGGGAGGGGGGGAGGGATTGGGGATATATATTGTGTGAAATTTTTAAAACTTTTAATAAAAAAAAGAAAAAAAAAGAAAAACAAGAAAGCCCAGTTGACTCGCGAAAAAAGCACTTTTCGGATATTTAGATCAGTGGTTCTCAACCTGTGGGTCGGGACCCCATTTGGGGTCGAATGACCATTTCACGGGGGTCACCAAACCATGCTGTCCGCCATTTTTTTCCCTTTTCCCTAGCTGTCCTACTCCCTCTTATTGGTGGCCACACCCACTTGGGGGTCACCACAACATGGGGAACTGTATTATGGGGTCACGGCATTAGAAAGGTTGAGAATCACTGATTTAGATGAAGGGTAAGGAATCATTTGGAAGGTAGAACCAAAATAGCAATAGCAATAGCCCTTAGACTTATATACCGCTTCGCAGTACTCTACAGCCCTCTCCAAGTGGTTTACAGAGTCAGCCTATGGCCCCCAACAATCTGGGTCCTCATTTTACCGACCTCGGAAGGATGGAAGGCCGAGTCAACCTTGAGCTGGTGAGAATCGAACTGCCGAACTGCAGTTCCCAAAGGTGGTTTTTCAAGAGGCAGCTGGATTTTCCTTGAAGACGTTTCGCTTCTCAGCCTCTTGGCTTCTTAGCTTCTTCAGTTCTTCAGTAATGCAGACAGATATTCTCCTTTATCGGTATCATGGATGTTTAATTGATCAGTGGCTTTTAACAATCTTTGCCTCATCACATTCATCTGTTTGAGGAATGTACACAGGGCCACCCAATATGAAATTCCCAAAATGCATGCCAGAGAATTAAAAAAAAAAATAGCTCAACACAAGGTGTAGGTATCTGTGAGTATGTACTGTATATATTATAATTATATAATAATTCCATTAATCCCAGCATAAGTATGAAACTGTAAATATATGACATGTTAAAACGTCAGGATAATTTTCATAAAGAAAATTTTTGGTTGGTAATGAAAAGATAACAGATTTTGTTATTTCTCACCAGTGCATTCAATGTCTCCAGAGACTGATTGCCAATTCTTGATATTTAAAAAGCATTGGCTATAATTTAGGACTGTCAGTTTTTCATTGTATCTGTTCTGTTTTTCCATAGAACTCAAATTCCAAAACTTGGAGAGGAAACAATTCATCTTGGTTATGTATGAGTTTATATACCTTGATCCAGTGATGGGATTCACATAGGTGAACAACCGGTTCTCTGTGTGGATGCAGCTTCCGGAAGTCCATTCTGGGCCTGGGCAACAAAAAATTCGCCGAACTGGTGCGAACTGGCTGAATCCCACCACTGCCTTGATCTCAATCACATCTTCCTTCCTTCCTTCCTTCCTTCCTTCCTTCCTTCCTTCCTTCCTTCCTTCCTTCCTTCCTTCCTTCCTTCCTTCCTTCCTTCTCTCTGCTTTTCTGCCTTCCCTTCTCTTCATTCCCCTTCCCTTCTCTCATTCCCATCTCCTTCCTTCCTTCCTTCCTTCCTTCCTTCCTTCCTTCCTTCCTTCCTTCCTTCCTTCCTTCTCTCTGCTTTTCTGCCTTCCCTTCCTTTCATTCCCCTTCCCTTCTCTCATTCCCATCTCCTTCCTTCCTTCTCTCTGCTTTTCTACCTTCCCTTCTCTTCACTCTCCTTCCCTTCTCTCAATTCCCATCTCCTTCCTTCCTTCCTTCCTTCCTTCCTTCCTTCCTTCCTTCCTTCCTTCCTTCCTTCCTTCCTTCCTTCCTTCATACTTAGATATCCTCCTTCCCATCAGTCTTGCTCATATCTTTGTTAATAATGGAATATTAAGTTTGATGTCTCTTAACAATGTAACCCCAAAACTATGGTGCCCTAAGGGAGAAAACATGTATCAAACCCGCTATTACAGGTAGTCCTTGACTTACAACTACAATTGAGTGCAACATTTCTGCTGCTGAATGAAACATTGGTTAAGAGAGTTTTGCCCCATTTTACTACCTTTCTTGCCATAATTGTTAAGTGAATCACTACAATTGTTAAGTTAGTAAAATGATTGGCTTCCCTATTGACTTTGCTGGTCAGAAGATCCCAAAAGGAGATCACATAACCCCAGGACACTGCAATCGTCATAAATACGAGTCAGTTGCCAAGCGTCTGAATTTTGATGAAGTGACATAGGAATACTGTTATGGTCATAAGTGTGAAAAATGGTCATAAGTCACTTCTTTCAGTGCTGTTTTAACTTTGAACGGTCACTAAATGAACTGTTGTAAGTTGAGGACTGCCTGTATATTGCATATTATTACATGTTATGAAGCTGATATCTATTCTGCAGATTAAATTTATTTAACTTTGTTTTATTGCTTGTTTTTCATGTACTCTATAAATTTGATAATAATGGGGATGAGTGTCAACGCTGTGACAATGGATGTCAACGCTCTGACAACTGAGAAACAGTAGCCATTTTACTTTTGCTTTTAACGTGCTTTTTCTCTTCTTTTAGAGTTCAGATATAGGAGGGGGGAATGGGGTAAATGGCTGAGAGTTTAGCTAGCCATAATAATGTAGAAGTGTGGGAACTCAAGGATATGTTCTTTGGCAGGCTGAAGGGTGGGTGAATGTGATTTATGACAGCTTTTATGGGGAGGGAATTGCAATCTGTTGCTTTGTATCTGGGAAGAGGGAATCTCAGTTTTGGGTTCAACTTTGTAAGTGCCGATACTTTGTTTCCTAATAAAATGTTCTTTAAGGAAGAATTCTTGCCTTGATGTTCTTTTACCGGTTTCATCTATCGGAACCATGACAATGTGCAGTCTGGGGAAAATCGTCCCTCTCTTTCCTTCCCATCTTTACATCTTTAACCTTTAAATGTATACGGAACGTAAGCCTTCCCGATTAACTTCCATAAACTGAGGTCTAGCAACTTGATTGCTTGTAGTTTTAAAAACAGACCCAGCCATGCTGGCTTCTTCCAAAGAATGAGCAGATCTGCTGATGTTTTGTAAAGGAAAAATACTCCAGCAACTTTGCGGCATCTTTAACATTTAAATGAAACCTTAAAGGATTTAATTTATGTATACATAAAGGAAGCAGCAGCCATGTGACACAGTGGATAAAGAAGAGTTCCTTGCACTCAGTCCCTCAAGCCTTGGTCATCTTGAGCTTGGACTACTGCAATGTGCTCTACATGGGCTAGCCTTGAAGAGTATCTGGAAGCTACAGCGGGTGCAGAATGCAATGGCGAGCACAGCTCTTGAGACCCCTAGGATGGCCCATGTTATGCCTCTGTTCCTTGAGGTGCACTGCTTTCCAGTTTGCTTCTGGGTCCAATTCAAGGTGTTGGTGATCATCTTCATGGCATGAGTCCAGGTTACTTGAGGAACCATCTCACCCCGATGGGATTAGCCCACTTGACCCACACCAGCGGATGGGGCATGCTACAAGCCCCATCGGTCAAGCAATTCTACCTGGTGGGATCCAGGAGAAGTGTCTTTTCCACCATGGTTGCTGCCTTTTAGACCATTGTTTCCTCACCTGCCCCCTTGAGGTGACATCTATACCCAGCCATTTGGCCTTCTAAAGGAGCCTGAAGACCTGGCTTTGCCAACTGGCCTCTGGCCCCAATGGGGGTGCATCATTCTGCGGTCGGTTAATGAGTAAGATAAGAGACCCACCTCCCCCCCTGTGCCTATTGCTCCTTCCTCTCCATCCCTGCTCATTTTAAGCTACTTTTAACATTACTACTTATTCTTTGATGTTTTAATGTTTACATCAGCTTTTAATGATTGTAGGCTGTTTAGGGATACCACCAGGTGAGATGGGCAGCATATACAGGAATAGGAAGGAAGGAAGGAAGGAAGGAAGGAAGGAAGGAAGGAAGAAAGGAAGAAAGAAAGGAAGAGAAGAAGGAAGGAAGGAAGGAAAGAAAGAAAGGAAGGAAGGAAGGAAGGAAGAGGGAGAAGGAAGAGGAGGAAAAAGGAAGGAAGGAAGAGGGGAGAAGGAGGAGGAGAAGAATGAGGAGGAGAGAGAAGTAAGTAAGTAAGAAAGAAAGAAAGAAAGAAAGAAGAGGGAGAAGGAGGGGTAGGAGGAGGAGGAAGGAAGAAGGAAGGAGAGAAAGAAAGAATGAAAGAAAGAATGAAAGAAGAGGGAGAAGGAGAAGGAGGAGGAGGAAGAAGGAAGGAAGAGGGGAGGAGGAGGACGCAGTGAGGAGGGAGAAATAAGTAAGTAAGTAAGTAAGAAAGAAAGAAAGAAAGAAAGAAAGAAGGAGGAGGGTAGTAGGAGGAGAAGAGAAGAAGGAAGGAGAGAAAGAAAGAAAGAAAGAAAGAAAGAAAGAAAGAAGAGGGAGAAGGAGAAGGAGGAGGAAGAAGGAAGGAAGGAAGGAAGGAAGGAAGGAAGGAAGAAAGGAAGGATTTTGAAAGTGGTGCCATGATTTCACCCACCATGTGGGGTGTCTGAAGATGCAGACATACTTACAAAATAATGCAGTGTCCAGGGGTCATGTGGCTGTGATTTACAATGGTTTGTTTTTTTTGCTAGAAACCAAGATTTACTTCTGATTTCTGACAAAAAGCACTCATTGTGGACAGTGGATTTGTTCAACCTCTCTCAAAAACAGTAAACTGGGAGAAGGACCTTGGAGTCCTAGTGGACGATCACTTAAGCATGAGCCAGCTGTGTGCGGCAGGAGCCAAAAAAGCCAATACAATCCCTGGTTGTGTAAACAGAGGCATAGAATCAAAATCACATGAAGTACTGCTTTATAAAGCCTTTATAAGGCCACACCTGGAATATTGCACCCAGTTTTAGGCACCACACTACAAAAAAGATTTTGAGACTTTGGAAAAAGTTCAAAGAAGAGCAACTAAGATGATTCAATGCCTGGACACTAAAGAAAAGAAGAAATAGGGGTGACATGATAGCAGTATTCCAGCATTTGAGGGGCTGCCACAAAGAAGAGGGAGTCAAATTATTCTCCAAAGCACCAGAGGGCAGGACAAGAACAATGGATGGAAACTAATGAAGGAGAGAATTAAGGAGAAACTTCCTAACAATGAGGACAATTAACCAGTGTAATAGCTTGCCTTCAGACATTGTGGGTGCTCCATCACTGGAGGTTTTTAAAAAAAGACTGGACTGTCACTTGTCTGAAATGGTATAGCAGGGGGTTGGACTAGAAGACCTCCAAGACCCCTTCCAGCTCTATTCTGATTCTGATCTAGTGACCATTGAAAGTGACAATGGCACTGAAAAATGTCACCAGACCATTGCCACATCACCGTGGTCACATGATCAAAATTTGGACAAATTTGTGACCTTTGGGACCAAGCAAAATCAATGGAAGAGCCAGATTCATTTCACAATAGTGTCACTAACTTAGCAAACGTGGCAAGAAAGGTTGTAAAATGGGGCAAAACTCCCTGAACAACTGTCTTGCTTAGTGATGGAAATCTGGGGCTTCATTGTGGTCATAAGGAGAGGACTACGTATAACTATATTTTTCAAACTCGCATTCACCCCAATTTAAAGAGTAACAAGGATACAAAGCCCAGTTTTAAAATCTCATAGGATTTCCTGCTTGAGCAGGGGGGGGGGGTTGGACTAGAACAGTGGTTCTCAATCTTTTTAATGCCATGACCCCCAACCAGTCGTAAGTTGAGGACTACCCAACTGGTCGTAAGTCGAGGACTACTGCTGCAGCACCGTTTGCAGAATGGGACTTTTGGCGGGCTCAGCAGGGCAGAGACAGCCTGGACAATTCCTGTTGGCTTTTGAAAGCCAATAGAATTGGACTCTATTCAAGAGAGTCTATTCTATTGGCTTTCAAAAGCCAATAGAATAAAAGGGAGTAGCACAGCTAAGGAAAAGGGGGGAAAAATGACAGACTGCGTTGTTTGGCGACCCCCGTGAAATGGTCGTTCGACTCCAAATGGGGTCCCGACCCACAGGTTGAGAACCACTGGACTAGAAGATCTCCAAGGTCCCTTCCAACTGTTATTTTGGTATTTTGTTATAAAGCCTTAGTAAGGCCACACTTGGAATACTGCATCCAGTTTTGGTCACCACACAACAAAAAAGATGTTGAGACTCTAGAAAGAGTGCAGAGAAGAGCAACAGAGATGATTAGGTGCCTGGAGGCTAAAGCATATGAAGAACGGTTGCAAGAACTGGGCATGGCTAGTCTAGTGAAGAGAAGGACCAGGGGTGACGTGACAGCAGTGTTCCAATATTTGAGGGGCTGTCACAGAGAGGAGGGGTTCAACCTATTTCCCAAAGCGCCTGAAGACCAGACAAGGAATAACGGATGGAAACGGATCAAGGAGAGATTCAGTCTAGAAATAAGGAGACAGTGAGAACAATCAACCAATGGAACAGCTTGCCTTCAAAAGTTGTGGATGCTTCAAGTAGAGACTGGACAGCCATTTGTCCAGAATGGTATAGGGCTTCTTGCTTGAGCAGGGGTTGGATTAGATGACCTACAAGGTCCCTTCCAACTCTGTTATTCTGTAAATTCTGTAGATAACATTAGATCTGAAGTCTGCTTCCTTGCCTGTGGTAGGCACCTCCCTATTTCTATCAATTATCAAATTATTGAAAAGAAACGGTGCCACATCTTGAAAGATTTGACCCTTCTTAATGAACTCCTTTGGCTCCTGCGTGGACTTGCCGACCGCGGAGTTTGGTCAAGGCATTTAACATGTCCTCATTACGCAGCGTGTAGATGACCGGGTTCAGCAAGGGTGTGACAGCGGTGAAGAAAATGGAAACAATTTTGTCTGCGGCCAAACTCTTGGCTGGCCTGAGGTAAATGAAGATACAGTGGCCCAAGAAGAAGGTCACGACGGTCAGGTGGGCAGCGCAAGTCGACAGAGCCTTGCGTCGTCCTTCAGAGAAGCGGTTCCTCAAGGAGACCAGGATGACCACATAGGAGATGACCAAAACGATAAAGCAAATCACGGAGATCAGCCCTGAATTGGAGACAATGAGGATCTCAAAAACATAGGTGTCGGTGCACGCTAGCTTGATGACTAGGGGAACATCACAGAAGAAGTTATCGATAGAGTTGGGGCCACAGTAGGGCACGCTGAGAGTCAACGCCGTCAAAGCAATGGAGTGGACGAGGCCTCCGAGCCACATGGCCACCGCCAAGCTGAGACAGACCCGGCGGCTCATGATATTTGTGTAATGCAAAGGATGACATATGGCAGCGTAGCGATCGTAGGCCATGATGGTCAGCAGGAAGATCTCTGTGCAGGCAAAGAGATGGAGGAAGAACATCTGCGCGATGCATTCTCCAAAGGAGATGGTTTTGGACTCGGTCAGGAAGTCTGCTAGCATTTTGGGCATGACCACGGAGGAATGGCAGACGTCGATGAAGGAGAGGTTGCTGAGGAAGAAATACATAGGGCTGTGCAGCTGATTGTCATAGATGATGGTGATCACGATGAGAATATTGCCAACGAGGATCAAAGAGTAAATGGCAATGAAAAGAACAAAAAGCACCAGTTCAGTGTTGTGATTGGCGGTGAGTCCAGATAAGATGAATGCCGTAACTTCTGTAATGTTCTCTGCCGGCATGGTCTTCTGTGGAGAAAGTAGGAGGGAAAGAAGAACAATATTATAACAAAGTAGCAGAGTTGGAAGGGACCTTAGAGGTCTTCTAGTCCAACCTGCTGCTCAAGCAGGAAACCCTACATGATCAGGGGACTGGAGGCTAAAACATGTAAGGAACGGTTGCTGGAATTGGGTATGTCTAGTTTAATGAAAAGAAGGACGAGGGGGGACATGATAGCAGTGTTCCAATATCTCAAGGTTTGCCACAAAGAAGAGGGAGTCAAGCTATTCTCCAAGGCGCCTGAAGGCAGGAGAAGAAGCAACGGGTGGAAACTAAGCAAGGAGAGAAGCAACCTAGAACTAAGGAGAAATTTCCTGACAGTTAGAACAATTAACCAGTGGAACAACCTGCCTCCAGAAGCGCTGAATGCTCCAACACTGGAAGTTTTTAAGAAGAGACTGGACAGCCATTTGTCTGAAATGGTATAGGGTTTCCTGCCTGAGCAGGGGGTTGGACTAGATGACCTCCAAGGTCCCTTCCAACTTTATTATTATTATTATTACTACTATTACTACTACTACTACTACTACTACTACTACTACTACTATTACTATTATTATTATTATTATTATTATTATTATTATTATTATTATTATTATTATTATTATATGGTTGTCCAGTCTCTTCTTAAAAACCTCCAGTGTTGGAGCACCCACAAATTCTGGAGGCAAGTCGTTCCACTGATTAATTGGAATTAAATTAAATACATTTCTCCTCAGTTCTAGGTTGGTTCTCTCCTTGATGGGCTTCCATCCATTATGAACTTAGGTGACTCAAATTGTCATGGTAAGGCAGTATTATGTAACAGGAAGTAGATGGAACTAGGTTGGGAAGGAGTTGTCTGGACAGGGAAAATAATTGGATGAATCTCTGTACATCTGCCAAAGTTGGATGAACAAAACAGAATAGTGGAGTTGGAAGGGACCTTGTAGGGATCTTCTTCTAGTCCAACCCCCTGCTCAACAGAAGACCCTATACCATTTAAGATAAGCGGCTGTCCAGTCTCTTCTTAAAATCTTCCAGTGATAGAACAGCTAAAACGTCTGAAGGCAAGCTGTGCCACTGGTTAAGTGTTCTCACTGTCAGGAAACTCCCCCTTAATTCTAGTTTGCTTCTCTCCTTGATTAATTTCCATCCATTGCATCTTGTCCTGCCTTCAGGCACTTTGGAAAATAGCTTGACTCCGTCTTCTTTGTGGCAGCCCCTGAGATATTGGAACACTTCTATCATGTCCCCCCTCGTCCTTCTTTTCATTAAACTAGACATACCCAATTCCAGCAACCGTTCCTTATATGTTTTAGCCTCCAATCCCCTAATCATATAGGGCTTCCTGCTTGAGCAGGAGGTTGGACTAGAAGGTGCTTTGGGAAATAGGTTGACCCCCTGTTCTTTGTGGCAGCCCCTCAAATATTGGAACACTGCTAACATGTCGTCTCCTAGTCCTTTTTTTCACTAGACTGGCTACATCTGATTCCTGCAACTGTTCTTCATATGTTTTATTCCCCAACCTCTTAATCATCTTAGTAGCTCTATCATATACATCAGCTATCATGGTCTACAATAGCTGAACTATCAGACAGACTTCAGATCTCCAAATTACCATGTCAGTTTTAATAAAAAAAAATGGGCATGTTAGTTCAGACAGCTGAACTGCATTTCTACCCACCTGGTATGGCCATGCTACATATTACGCAGGAGACCCAATGTTATTTGAAATGGATTCATAGGGGAGATTGAGACTAGGGTCATGGCATGAGGGGAGATTCTAGTTTTGAAAATCGCAAGATTCCAAATCAAGGTCCCCAAATTTCAGAGCCAGGATTTATGATCTAGAATCTGTGCTCAGGAGCGACATTCAATCCTAACTTTAGATATATTCTTGTTTTCATTTCTGCTTCACCTAAATTCACAGGAAAGGATCAATCTGTTATCTGAAAGATTAGACGCAGGGGTAGTCGACCTTGGCTCTTTTATGACTCGTGGACTTCAGTTCCCAGAATTCCTGAGCCAGCTTAGCTGGCTCAGGAATTCTGGGAGTTGAAGTCCACGTGTCATAAAAGAGCCAAGGTCGACTACCCCTGGATTAAAGTCATACAATAGGGAAAGGATGCCAATAAATAAAACACTCTCCTAGATGCTTCTTCTGGAAAGTCAGTAATAAAATAATAGATTGTCAAGAATAACACCACTGCAGTTGCAGCTAGTTCACCCAGGTTTACAGTTGAGGTTTACAGGTTTACAGGTTTATAGTTGAGCTCTTCACATTTCCGGTAAGATATTATCTGGTGTTCCACAATTACTTTTTCTGCATGAAAAAGTACAGCAACAATTGACACATTCCGTACAGGCAAGGACTGTCAGAGGACAAACTTATTCCTTCCACATAGTTAATTTTAACAGATTTACAGTTACTGTGCTCAAAATCTCTTCATTTATTTTATACCTCGGAGAGAGGGGGGAAAAATGTGGGATTTCTTTGCAGTTGAAAACACAGTTTGCAACTGGGGGAGGGTTTTTTTTTGTTTTTGTTTTTAAAAGGACTTATTGTTTGAGTGAAACCTTTCTGCAATATTTTGGTCCCATTACATTAACGAATCTCTTCCATATTTACAAAGCAATTTTTAAAATGTAGTTTATATTGCTTTCAAAATAACAAAAAAGAAAAGAAACAAGACAGAAAGATAATTATGATAGAAATACATGCTTTGTCAAAGAGGGAGAAAAAAATGATTTAAGTACCAGGAAAAAAATTGGGCAGGTCCTATGTTGTAACTTTCAAGATTAAATCTTCATCATTGTCTATCACAAAGAATGTATTATTAAAACACAAATATGGATGGATAATACATCTCAGTGTTTCTCAACCTTGGCAAATGTTATTTCTGACCAATGCACTCCTAATAAAGGAGAATATTTGCACTCCAAGTCACCAGAGACTGATTGCAAGTTGTTGATGTTCACAGTTAAAACATCTGCTATAATTTAGGATTATCATATTTTCACTGTATCCATTCTGTTTTTCCATAGAACTCAGATTCCAAAACAATTGGAAACAATTCATCTGTGTTATGTATGAGTTTATATACTTTGACTTCAATGTATGTACAATTTTGTGCAGATCACTAGTGCTAAGTACTCTCCCCCCTCCCCCGTATGCACCAAATGCTATTGTGTAAATCATTTGCTCTGTTCTAAAAGCCTGGAAGTGTGTTGTCGAATGCACAACATGCTGAGTTTATCACCTGCAGAATTTATGCCATTGCTGTTCATCAGAGGGCACTTTATGCGTTTCATATATTTGGGAAATGATCTTTTCAGAACTCTGGACTAGGAATTTATTTAAAATGTAGCACAGGGGTTTCATGGCACTAAGTTATTATTTATTTTTCAGCATTTGTCTTGTGCAAATGCAGAACACCACTACCAGCAGGCTAGAAAGACAATGAATAATCATGCATTATTTTCAGAATTAATTATAGTTAAGTGCAGCAATGTAAGTTTTCACAAAATTAGAACTTCAGTTTCTTTCTCTAATGCTATATCCCACCCACCCCAAAATTATGTATGGCTTAAAAAAAAAAGATGTTTGTAAAACAACCTTTTAAAATAGAAAGAATAAAATAGCACTTACATACATGCTGGTGCTTGCAATAATTAGGAGAGTTTTATTTCTGAATAAATTCTTTATGCTCAGTATCACAAGAACAAGGTTTTAGGAGAAGCCACAGAGGTCAGTTTAAAGAAATTAAGTCAATCTGTCTTCAAACCCTTGTTTGTTCCTTCCAGGATGTGATGATAATAAAAGTTCACCTTTAATAGTTTAATTCTTCCTTTGGAAGTAAATGATATCTGCTTAAGTAGTCAAATGCATACTCCGATTAATTCCAAATCCATATAACTCAAAATAAAATGGGCAGAGAGAGATGATCTTTTTGCATCAAAATTTACCAGCATGGAAGCAATCTAATGTTTTTTTTCAGTGCCTTTGACTTCTAGAAAATTATTCAGCATCTGTCATTAAAATGCATCTCTCTCTCGCTCTCTTTCTAAAAAAAAAAAAGGAATGGTAAACATAAAATCAAATATAATTTGCATCATCCTTGCAATTAGCTCTTAAATATAATTGTGAGTCGGTAATAATTCATGTCAGTTATTTGGAGGTCAAAGAGAAGCATAATGCTTTGAGGATTCAACTCAGAAGTAACACCAATTAGGCCACTAGGGAAGTTGTCATGCTACCCAAAGTTTTGGAAACTGTAAAGTTAATCTCAGAAATGTTTTAATAAGCCCTCTCAGGCTTTGAAGAGTTGGATTCTTGGTGTTATGCAGAGGAAGAACAGCACACAAACACCCAAACATTACAGCAAAGTTTGGCAGAAAAGTATCTTCACAAGTTTTAGACAACAGCACTTCTAATTCACTAGTTTTGGCAGTACAGCCTGAAATTTATGGAATTCTGTCATCCAGAATACCTGGAAACCCCCATGTTGCTGATCTCTAACTTTGAAAAAGGGTGAAGGACTTCAAGGTGAGGGCTTTTGCTAACTTCATGGAGGCATCTCTATAGTTTGCTGTGGGCAGAATAACAAAAAACAAAGCTGGAAGGGATCTTGGAACTCTTCTAGTCCAACTCCCTGTAGGTAGTCCTCAACCTATGACCACAATTGAGCCCAAAATTGCCATTGCTAAGCAAGACAGTTGTTAAGTGAGTTTTGTCCCATTTTATGACCTTTCTTGCCACAGTTGTTAAGTGAACCACTGCACTTAAGTTAGTAACACGGTTGTTAAGTGAATCTGGGCTCCCCATTGACAAGGTCGCAAAAAGGGGATCGATCACATGACCCCGGGGCCACTGCAACTGTCATAATTCTGTTTGCCAAGCATCCAAATTTTGATCATGTGACTGCAAAATGTTCATAAGCCACTTTTTCAGTGCCGTCACAACTTTGAATGGTTATTAGATGAATGGTTGTAAGATGAACGGAAGGGAAAGGAAAGGAAAGGAAAGGAAGGGAAGAAAGAAAAACAGAGAGAAGGAAGAAAGAAAGAAGGAAGGAGATGGAAGTGAGAAGAAGGAAGGGAAGGGAGAAAAGCAGATGGAAGGAAGGAAGGAAGGAAGAAAGAAAGATGAGTATAAGGAGAAGGAAAGGAAGGAAAGAGAAAGAAGGGGAAGGGAAAGGAAAGAAAAGGAAAGGAAGGAATAATACTAAACTCTGCTTTATTTCCAAAACATTTAATTTAATGAAACTATTAATCTTTATGGAATTTATGCTCCAAGCTGCCTGAAGCTACAGAGTGTATATGGTACATGAGGAAGCAGTAAAGCCATTCTGCATCTTGTTCTGAGTAACCAGATTGTATTTGAGGTCCCAAATTCTACCACTGAATGATGACCTTATAAAAGATGTGAGATCCATGGAGGTCCCGATCTTGGTCTATTGATGTTCTTCCCCTTTGGAACCACCCCAGTCACATTTTATTGAATATTCTTGATGAGCAGCATCTCACATTAGGGCCAAGGTCTCACTTCTCTGTGTCTACCTTCCAGCCAAGTAATTTATTCAGAGCCCGTTTCATATCTTCATTCCTTAAGGTATAGATAATGGGGTTGAGCAATGGAGTCACTGCGGTGAAGAAGACCGAAACCACTTTGTCCTCTGCAAAACTTGTGGAAGGACGGGAATAAATGAAGATGCAATGTCCCAGGAAGAGAGTCACCACTGTCAAATGGGCTGCACAGGTGGAAAGAGCCTTGTGTTGGCCTGTCACCAAACGGGTACGCAGGGAGACCAAGATGACACCATAGGAGGCCACCAACACCACGAAGCAGACCACGGAGATCAGGCCTGAGTTGGACACAATCAGGACCTCAATGACATATGTGTCAGTACAGGCAAGCTTGATGACTGGGGGAACATCACAGAAGAAGTTGTCCACCACCTTAGGGCCACAATAGGGGAGTCTGATTGTCATGCCAATCAAAGCAAGGGAATGGATGGTTCCACCAACCCAGATGGTGCCCGCCAAGAGCAGACAGACCTTATGGTTCATGACTTTGAGATAGTGCATGGGGTTGCAGATGGCTACATAGCGATCATAGGCCATAACGGTGAGGAGAAAGATCTCAGTGCAGGCAAAGAGGTGAAGGAAAAACATCTGAGCAATACAACCTCCAAATGAGATGGTCTTCTCGGTAGATAGGAAATCAACTAGCATCTTGGGCAGAGTGACAGTGGAGTGGCAGATATCAATGAAAGAGAGGTTGCTCAAGAAGAAGTACATGGGGGTATGGAGGTTCTGGTCCAGCATGATGGTGATCATGATGAGTATGTTCCCAGCCAAAATCAGCAGGTAGATCACCAGGAAGATTGCAAATAGAACCTGTTGGGTCTCAGGATTGTTGGAAAGGCCAACCAGTATGAATTCGGCCACTGAGGTCCAGTTCTGTATGGGGGTGGTCCAATTTGAAGTCATCTCTTCACCCATTTCTGTTCTGGAAAAAAGAGAAAACAATATCCTGTATTATTTTTCCTAGGAAAAAAAATGAAGGCAACCAACTCACAGATCTACAAGCTTCATGTCATAAAATTAGCATGTGATACTTGCTTTATCAGGACAATGAGATTTACCAAGTCCAGCTTTCCCCTTCCTGGTTAAGCAGATGTCTTTAAGAAACCCACCAGCAAAAGTTGATGGCCATAATTCTCTTTTTCTGGTTCCCTGCAGCAAACTGATATTCAGTAACTGAATGCCTTTGAATATGGTTCTCTGTAGCTATTCTGCAGTCACGACATAAGCCTAAGACTGAAAATCAGGCTTGTCAGATGCTATATTTTTTTCTATCCTGCTCTATGGAGTAGAGAGCTGGTCTCTGACAGAAGGCCACCGGAAGAGACTAGAAGCATTTGAAATGTGGATTTACAGGCGGCTGTTATGTACAAGCTGGGTTGACAAGATCAGAAATGAGGAAGTGATAATCCACCTGGGAAAGCCCAGGGAAATCATCAAAACAATCAAAAAACGAAAATTAGAATATTTCAGACATGTGATGAAACACCCAGAAAAATACGGCATAATCCATTTAATCCTCCAGGGAAAGACTGAAGGCAAATGAAGTCCAGGCAGAAGAAGAACATCCTGGCTTCAAAATCTAAGGGACTGGTTTGGACAAAACTCAGCAGCACTATTTCCTGCGGCTGCTGATAAAAACAGGATCGCCAACATGATCGCCAATGTCTGATGCCTGCCTGTCTACCTGCCTACCTGCCTACCTGCCTACCTGCCTACCTGCCTACCTGCCTACCTGCTTGCCTCCTTCCTTGCTTCCTTCCTTCCTTCCTTCCTTCCTTCCTTCCTTCCTTCCTTCCTTCCTTCCTTCCTTCCTTCCTTCCTTCCTTCCTACCTACCTACCTACCTACATCTATCTATCTATCTATCTATCTATCTATCTATCTATCTATCTATCTATCTATCTATCTATCTATCTATCTATCTATCTATCTATCTATCTAAAGTTTCTGTCATCTCCTAGTGGTCTCCTGCCCAAGGTCTTGGTAACATGGTTTTTTTTTTTAAAAAAATAATCCATTCAATCACGTCTGATTTTCAAAAACTGCCTGGACAAGTCCCTGCAGGAGTTTTTTTTTTTTTTGGCAAGGTTTTTCAAGAGTGGTTTGCCATTGCCTCCTTCCTAGGGCTCAGAGAAAGTGACTGGATCAAGGTCACCCGGTTGTTTTCGTGCCTAAGGCAGCACTAAAACTCACAGACCCTGGGTTTCTAGCCTGATGCCTTAACCGCTACACCAAACTGGCTCTCTTAGTAACCAACTGAATGATACAATCCTAGAATGTTCTTTAGAACGTTTTAGAACCTCAGGTTAAATCTTCTATTCCATGTAAAAATCCTAATTGAAGCCTCTGGAGAAATGGACGCCCCTCTGCTTAATTATATCTAGCTAAGACGAACCCTGTTTCTGGGCCATCAGTTCCATTGTCAAACAGAAAGCGTTCAGGCAGAATTCATCACCTGTCCAGTTCTGGACAAAGCAATTGCATATAAGTGATGCTTGAGCAGGGTCGGCAGAATTGTCTGGGATGCTATACACCCACTTCAACACCTGTTTTCCTTTTTGCCTTCTGGGAGAAGGCTTCGGGGTATCCGAAGCAGAACATCCAGATTCCATCACAGTTTTGTTCCACGTAGCATCAACCTTGTGAACTCTCAAGTTTCCTCTTTCCACTATGTGTTCAAAATATTTGTATGTATGTATGTATGTATGTGTATATACTCGATAGGTAGACAAAATGCCAAATCCAGTCGTCGTCGTCATCATCATCATCATCATCATCATCATTATTATTATGGATCATTGTACAGTCAGCCAGATGTTCAGACTGGATTTGGCATTTTGTCTACCTATAGAGTCCTTACTCAGGACCTGGGATAGGCAGATGTGGATGTTTGATGGTATTACAGGTATCGTCGCAGGATGGAAGCAGTTCCTAGTAAGGCTGCCTTTTGCAATTGACTAATAGTGAATGTGTCAATGCCAATGGTGTTCAAGTGGTGCTCCAGTTGTTTTGGGATTGCACCTAAGGAGCCTATTACTATTGGTACTACCCTTGCTTGCTTTTGCCACAGTCTTTCTATTTCTATTTGTAGGTCTTTGTATTTTGTTATCTTCTCCAGTTCTTTCTCGTGTATTCTGCTGTCTCCAGGCACTGCCACATCCAATATCCAGACTTTTTTGTCTTTCTTATCGACAAATAATAATAATAATAATAATAATAATAATAATAATAATAATAATAATAATAATAATTATTATTATTATTATTATTATTGATCATCGCACAGTCAGCCAGATGTTCAGACTGGATTTGGCATTTTGTCTACCTATTGAGTCCTTACCAAGGACCTGGGATAGGCAGATTGGATGTTTGATGTTATTACAGATATCGTTGCAGCATGGGGGCGGTTCCTAGTAAGGCTGCTTTTTGCAATTGATGATGATGATGATGATTTTGCTTTAGATTCTTGTAGGATATTCTTTTTTTCCTTCGCCTTTCCTGTGGTGGAAACAAAAGGGAAATCGCTCGTTCCTAGGATGGTGGAGAGGGGAACATTGCTAGAGAAATGCTTGAACTCTCATGCCATGCTTGGTGTTTTCTGTTGCACACCTGGGATGAATAAATGCTTTCTTCTGCTCCTAAGCAAAAGATAGATGATGTATTGTCCTTACTTCGCACCTGGCAAATAAATGCAGATTGCCAGCTTTAAATCTGGCAACTGAAATCCAGTGAGACAACAGAAAATCTGACCTTGAAAAAAGTGGGCGAGGGTTTTGGCTTTGCTTAATCAAAAAGCTTTCTAAAAACTAATGAATTCATTAATTAAAACAATTAATGTGTTAAAATTCTCCTTCTCTCTCTCTCTCTCTCTCTCATATTGGCAGGAAACAAAGGGCTGGTGATACACAACTGGTCTTTTATGTCCTTTCACAAGTAGTGTTGACCACAAGTTGGAACACAAGTCCCATCACTCTTGTGAGTGAGCCAGTGTAGTGTAGCAGTTAAGGTGCTGGTCTAGAAACCAGGAGATTGTGAATTCTAGTCCTGGGTTAGGCATGAAAGCCAGCTGGGTGACTTGGGGCCAGTCACTCTGTCTCAGCCCAACCCACCTCACAAGGTTGTTGTTGTGAGGAAAAAGTGGAGGAGGAAAGAGCATTAGGTAGGTTGGCCACCTTGTGTTACTTATAAAGTAATAAAGATGGGATAAAATCTAATAAATATTAATAACTCTCAGGATGAGAAAGGAAGCTTTAAAAATCACATCTTGTTCTCTCTCTTTCTCTCTCTCTCTCTCTCTCTCCCCCCTCTCTGTGTGTCTTTCTCTTTCTTTCTTTCTTTCTTTCTTTCTTTCTTTCTTTCTTTCTTTCTTTCTTTCTCTCTCTCTCTCTCTCTCTCTCTCTTTCTTTTTCTCCCCCCCCTCTCCTTGTCTCTATCTCTCTCCCTCTCTGTCCCCCCCTCTGTCTTTCTCTTTCTCTCTCTCTTTCCTTGTCTCTATCCCTCTCTCTCTGTCTTTCTCTGTCTGTCTCTTTCTTTCTCTTTTTTCTCTTTCTCTCCTTTCTCCCTCCCTCTCTCTCTCTCTCTCTCCCTCTCTCTCTCTCTGTCTCTATTTCTCTCTCTCTCTCCCTCCCTCCCTCTCCCTCTCTCTTTCCTCTCTCTGTCTTTCTCTCTGTCTCTCTCCCTCTCCCCCCCTCTCTTTCTCAGTCTTTCTGTTTCTCTCCCTGTCTCTAGATTTCCAAATGGAAATGAGTTAAAAATGCCAACCACATCATGAGCACTTATACACATCTCTAGTAATCTCCTGTCCCACCGATCTTAGAAATGGAAGATCTCTTTTCTTTTCCTCCCACCACAAAGCCATCACTTGTTCAGAGAAGGTGAAAGAATAAAGAAGATCCTCAAAGAATTTGAAATTAAAAATAAGGAAGATGCTTAGCTTAGCCACCAATCCTTTCTCAGTGTTAACAGTGCACAGCTCATCACATCATTCTTCATTAACTCTTTGGATTTCATGTAGCTGTTGTGAGGACAGAAATGTCATTTCTTCCTCATTTTGCATCATTTTCTCCCTTTGGGATTGTCACCTCTAGAGCGGGCACTGACTGGTATACACTGTAAAGTCCTTTTTGGAAAGATTTTGGCTGAAAGAGCATACTTCTTTCGTATAGTGTTCCTTTGAATAAATGAACATTATTTCATATTCATTTCTCAGAGATTATTTTTTTCTGGTTAGCTGCTCTTTCTTGTTAAGATTTGGCTTCAGCAAAATAATGTAGCATTTTTTGGGGGTGGGGGGAATGCAACCCACTATCCCTAAACTGGACACCAAAATGGAAAAGTCTTCCACAGACACTATGTACCTTCCCTTGGTGCTCAGGTAAGTTGGAGCGAAAGGCATCCAAACACTGCAAAACAGCAACATGCTGAAGGTAATAAACTTGGCTTCATTAAAAAGAGCGGGTTTGATTTTCTGCTCAATTTAATGGTGGTGTAGACCAACCTATTCCCTCCTTTGTAATCTAGCCGTCCACTTTTGGAAGTTCCCCCCAAAAAGAAAAAAAAGAAAAAAAGGATTTTGCGTAAAAATCCCTGGAGTCATCTTACAGACACAAGAGCTCAGAATCCAAAATCAAAAAAAGTAGGCAAAATTTAACAGTGCTTTAACAGCATTAAGAACAACATCCATCAGAGAAGGTTGGCTGTGCATTTATTATCATCGTCCTTATAATGAGCACATGTATTTATTTTTAAATTCAGTGGTATCTTTTACCCTGCACAGTAACACAAGCAGACACATAGAGAATCCCTACTGTAAGCTCTTTGCAAGATACATTTCTGCTTTAAAAAAAAGGAGACAAACTCCTTGTCAATGAATTCCTGCTTTCAGATAATGACAGAAAAAGAAAACTTACAATTTTGCAAAATCTGAAGGACGGTTCCTTTTGTTGCTTCAGCTCCAGAGACGTTTTTTAACTTCATCTGTATTTTTTTCCCCTCTTGCCATATATAACCCTCTCACTCTCTATTTTTTTTTTTTTGCATCAAGGCAAAGTCTTTTAATGTTGCTTTGTAACAGCCACTTGTTGACCCCATAGAGAATGCAACTGATGACGTCAATGTGGCAGGGAGGGGGGGGATAATTACACAATCTTTCCAAGACATTTTCAGTTTTAGTAGAAAGGACACCAAGTTTTTTTCCTTTGACAGACAAGGGTGAAGTGAATGGGAAGGCCTGAAATAAAATAAAATAAAAATCTAGTTTTATTCTACAGCTAGAATGCCAGATGGCCTGATGAATAAATCTGTGTTCCTTCATTTCCCAGCCAGAAAGTGTTTTCTAAGTATTTTAGAAGAAGTTTCTCAATTTTAGCAACTCAAAGATGGGTGGACTTCAACTCTTAGAATTTCCCAGAAATTGAGAAACACCATTTTTGGATCTATCATCCTCAAAATATTGTATTATTTTTTTGATACTATGCTTTATCCTCCATGCTGCTCAGGGCAGTCCTGCATTAGAGGGAATCACACAATGTGCGAAACCTAAAACCACAATGGTGGCTTGTTTGATCGTGTTTGTCACCATTGTGGGGTGGTGGTGGTGCATTTGAAATCGTGGCTTTTTGATGCCACACAGTACCTGGAGTCACGGTATGTGAGTTGGGAAGCCATAATAATTTGTTTCATAAATAAATAAATGAAGACCAGATGCACGGAATAAAACACAGCATCTGATAGCTAAACAAATAAATCTGTTTGTCGGTTAATCTGCCTCTCTTTTTCTAGCTATGTCTTATTCACTTGAACACCATTCGCCATTAGTCAATTGCAAAAGGCAGCCTTACTAGGAACTGCTTCCATCCTGCGATGATATCTGTAATAACATCAAACATCCACATCTGCCTATCCCAGGTCCTGGGTAAGGACTCGATAGGTAGACAAAATGCCAAATCCAGTCTGAACATCTGGCTGACTGTGCGATGATCCATAATAATAATAATATTGGATCACAAGCAAAGTCAATGGGGGAAGCCAGCAGGAAAGGTCACGAGTCACGATGATGTGCTGCCTTGCTTAACCAAAAAAGCATAAAAAAAGGTCACATGATGCCTCACTTAATGACAGTGCCACTTAATGACGAACGTTCCTATCCTAATTGTGGTGAAGTCTACCTACCTAAGGCTACCTGTCGTTTGACATCGTGTTGAGAAATGTCTCAACTCACCACTAGAGGGCAGGAAAGTATCACAAAATTTGGCTTCTCAAAGCCAGAAAGAAAATTTACAAGGGCTGGAAAAAGAGAGGAACAAGGAATAACAGGAATGTGTTGTCACAGAATGGGGATGGAGGGTGGGGAAGTTATTGTTTATTTATTTATTTTTATTTTCTATATTATATTCTTGTTGCTTGCAAGCTGCCTAGAGTCTCTGTGAACCAGTAGGGGAGCCATATAAATTTCCTAAATAAATAAATAAATAAGCAAATTTGCAAGACACAATGACCACACCCATTAGCCAGTTTTGTTCTGGCCTCCTGCAGTTTTGTAGATCTGGCTTCTGCCAGTTGGTTGACGGGTTCCTATAAAGTTCAGAGCAATCACAGTTCATTACCCCCCCCCCCAGCAAGAAAGACATGCAAATGAAGGACCTCCATCAAACTTTATTGCATGCTTATTTATTTAGGAGCAATACCTCTCCCTCTCAGCCCAACCCACCTCACAGGTTTCTTGTTGTGGGGGAAATAGAAGGAAGAAGGAGTATGGGGGAAAGAAAAGAAGTGAAGAAAGAGAGACAAAAGAAAGAGAGAAAGAAAGAAAGAAAGAAAAGAAAGAAGGAAAGAAGGAAAGAAAGAAAGAAAGAAAAAAGAAGAAGGAAGGAAGGGGGGAAGGAAAGAAAGAGAAAGAAAGAAAGAAAGAAAGAAAGAGAAAGAAAGAAAGAAAGAAAGAAAGAAAGAAAGAAAAGAAGAAGGAAGGAAGGAAGGGAGGGAGGGAGGGAAGGAGGGAGGGAGGGAGGAAGGAAGGAAGGAAGGAAGGAAAGAAAGAAAGAAAGAAAGAAAGAAAGAAAGAAAGAAAGAAAGAAAGAAAGAAAGAAAAGGGATCAGGGGATTGAAGGCTAAAACATACAAAGAATTGGGTATTTCTAGTTTGAGGGGTGACATGATAGAAGTGTTCCAATATCTCAGGGATTGCCCCAAAGAAGAGGGAGTCAAGCTATTCTCCAAAGCACCTGAAGGCAGGACAAGAAGCAACGGATGGAAACTAATCAAGGAGACAAGGAACCTGGAATTCTGGAGAAACTTCCTAACAGTGAGGGCAATTAACCAGTGCAACAGCTTGGACAGTTACTTGTCTGAAATAATATAGGATTTTCAGCTTGAGCAGGGGGCTGGACTAGAAGACCTCCAAAGTCCCTCCCAGCTCTATTCTGATTCTGACTAAAGAAGAGAGAGAGAGAGAGAGAGAGAGAGAGAGAGAGAGAGAGAGAGAGAGAGAGAGAGAGAAACAGACAGACAAACAGACAGAAACAGAGACAGAGAGAAACAGAGACAGAGAGAAAGAGAGAGGAAGGAAGGAAGGAAGGAAAGAAGAAAGACAGACAGACAGACAGACAGACAGACAGACAGAAAGAAAGAAAGAAAGAAAGAAAGAAAGAAAGAAAGAAAGCATCAGTGAGGTCACCAGCAATCAAAAGCAAGTAATGGAGGTTTTTTGTTTAATTCAAATTCTTCATCCTGACCCTTGAATTCTGATAGAAATATGTTATATGCCAGTTCCAAAAGCCATACTAGAACGCCCAGCATTGTTTTGATTTCAAAGCAAACCAGGCTCATGAGAAGACTACCTCCAGTTGATGATAGGGGCATGTGGTGGGGAGAAACTCATCTGAATTTCTCCTCCCATTGCTTGTCTCGCAGTCCTGATCAAATGGATCCTTTCTTGAAGTCTTAGGCGTGATTGTGAGTCCTCATCATTTCAGGGAAATTACTTTCCTCCACAAGGATGTTCTTCACTCTCCTCTTCCTCTTGGGTCAGTCAACTGTGGAATGCTTAGGAAGGAAGTTTTAATGATGAGCAGAACCAACAACAGCATGTAGTTCTGGGACAGCTGTCAATTTGTTTTGATGAGTACAAGGATTTTTCCACAGTTTTATGGCATTTCGTAATTTGGAGGCTTGCTTTGTATGCTTCTGTTATTAGATTTGTTTAGCTTGTTTCGCAGAGGCTAGCAATGGGTCTAAAATACTGGTTTCCTTGGGTTTTAATCCTGTCAAACAAATGTGTTTGGTTTCACCCTGTTCTCTACAGTTTGTCTATTAGTTTTAGCACAGCACTTTTAATAAACAGGCAGACTTGAGGCAATATTTCCGCTTTTCACAATAGCCAGGGGTTTCAAGAGTGAAACATTATTTCTGTATTTTTTTCCTCCCGAGCTTTATTCTTGTGATTTGGGGGGCATAGTAAAAAGGATTGTGCATTCTTATCGCAATAATAACAAAATAAAAGAGTTAGAAGAGATCTTGGAGAAATTCTAGCCCTTGCTTAAGCAGGAAATCTATACCATTTTGGACAAATGGTTGTCCAATCTCTTGTTAGACTTGGACCAAGTTTGCTCTTTCAGCCACTGGGTGGCTTGGGGTCAGTCCTTGATTCTCACCCTGACCTACCTCACAGGATTATTTTTTTTCAGTTGGGGGAAAGGCAGAAATAGATCTTGTAGCATGCTCATCTCAAATTTACGCCAAATGATGCTGAGGAGGCTGAAGAAATAAAAATATTGATCTTCTCTTTACTCACAGAAGTTCTCCATCTTGTCTCCAGCCAAGTGTTCCAATCCGAGCAACTGATCCTCATGGAAAAAGAGGAGATTGTCTTAAAGTGCACTCACAACATCACTGTCATTAACAACATGTATTGGTACAAGCAAACTGGTGGAGTCCTCACATTTCTGGGGGCCAACTATAATGGAAAATTGGATCTTCCTGGCAGATTTACGATGGACGTGGACCAAAAATCCCGCTTGAGCAAACTTACAAGAGACGTAGCGAGGCTGAAAGATGCTGGTGTGTACTTCTGTGCTGTGAGAGACACAGCAGCAGGAAGCAAGCTGGCCTTAGTTCAAAAATGATCTTTAGAACAAAAGAAAGAGTACAGCTTGCCTGCAATCTTACCAGGGTGGTGAAAATTTGGGGTGGCAATGAAAATTTCTGTGGAGATCTCTGTGGTGTTTTTTTCCCCCCACCTTCCGTTGTGGATCTGTGTAGGTGCCAAGCCTCTCTAGAGTTTGATGCTCAGGATAAACACATCACTAAAAGGTTTTTATGTTAGTGGGGGATGAATTTTGAGACTGGGTGAGTGGGGTGTAATTTTGGGAGAAGGAGAAACAGTTTAGTTTAGGGCAGTGTTTCTCAACTGTGGCAACTTTAGTTTGCATGGATTTCAACTCCTGGAATCCTCCAGCCAGCATGAGTGGACTTTAACTTCAGAATTCTCCTGCCATTTTGTATGAACTTCAACTCTCAGAATTTCCTTCCTTCCTTCCTTCCTTCCTTCCTTCCTTCCTTCCTTCCTTCCTTCCTTCCTTCCTTCCTTCCTTCCTTCCTTCCTTCCTCCCTCCCTCCCTTCTTTCTCTCTCCCTCTCCTTCTCCCCATCTTTCTTTCTTTCTTTCTTTCTTTCTTTCTTTCTTTCTTTCTTTCTTTCTTTCTTTCTTTCTTTCTTTCTTTCTTTCTCTCTTTCCTTCCTTCCTTCCTTCCTTCCTTCCTTCCTTCCTTCCTTCCTTCCCTCCCTCCCTCCCTCTCTCTCTCTCTCTCTTTCTTTCTTTCTTCAACTTCCAATATCCATTTTTTAAAATTGTCCTTTGTTTCTTTTGAAGTCTGGAAAAAGATGGCTGCATTTTATATTCTAAAGACGTCCATCTTCATCTCTGACATCACTGCTCCATGAACTGGTCATCAGATTTTCAGGAACCTGGAATCTTGTTTTCAGTTTGCTGTCTCCCACTGATAAAAAAAAACAAACCCTGATGCCTGGGGTGAACACTGCTATCTTATTCAGAAGATGGCCTGGTTGATTATAAGTAATAATAATAATAGTAGTAAAGTTGGAAGGGACCTTGGAGGTCATCTAGTCCAACCCCCTGCTCGGGCAGGAAACCCTACACCATTTCGGACAAATGGCTGTCCAGTCTCTTCTTAAAAACTTCCAGTGTTGGAGCATTTACTGCTTCTGGAGGCAGGCTGTTCCACTGATTAATTGTTCTCACTGTCAGGAAGTTTCTTCTTAGTTCTAGGTTGCTTCTCTCCTTGATTAGTTTCCACCCGTTGCTTCTTGTCCTGCCTTCAGGTGCTTTGGAAAATAGCTTAATTCCCTCTTCTTTATGGCAGCCCCTGAGATATTGGAATACTGCTATCATGTCCCCCCTTGTCCTTCTCTTCGTTAAACTAGACATCCCCAATTCTAGCAACCGTTCCTTATATGTTTTAGCCTCCAGTCTCCTAATCATCTTTGTTGCTCTTCTCTGTACTCTTTCTAGAGTCTCAACATCTTTTTTACATCGTGGTGACCAAAACTGGATGCAGTGGTACTAGGACTTCTATGTAACATGGAAAGTATGCCACAAGTGGAATGGAAGGAATATCTCTAAAGAGCACAAGACCTCCATCGTTAGCTAAGTCTCCCAGGGGGTTACATTTCTCTTCCAAACAACTGATGCAACATTGATAGGTTTGCTCATGGGATAAGATGGCTGGGATTTCTCCAGGTTCCCTGTAGAGAGATACAGAAGCTATATGGACCTTAGCACAAGGCAGACGTTCATAAAGCTTTTTAAAACTGGAAAAGCATATCTCCAGCGAAGCTGCATTGCTCCAAGGTCAATGCAGATTCTTTTATGGATATATATATATATATATGAAAGTCCCGTCTGATCAAAAAATATAGGCTTGTAGTTCATAAGCATAGAATATACTTTCAGGGAATGGAATCAAACAAAGAAAATTAGTCATCATGTATTAACTTCATTTCTTTCCTCCATGCAAGGTAAGGACCAGCTTCTTGTATTTTTCTTTTATTTTTAGCGTTTTTCTCTTTTTTTGTCAAGGCTTCCTTATGAGAAGGGCTTTATTTTTCTGCTACTGTTTATAAAGTCTCTCTCTCTCTCTCTCTCTCTCTCTCTCTCTCTTTCTGCCTCTCTCTCTATCTATCTCTGTCTCTGTCTCTCTGTCTGTCTGTCTGTCTCTCTCTCTCTCTCTCTCTCTCGTCTCTCTGTTTGCCGTGTTTCTGTTTGTGAAATCTTTGTCAGGTCTAGAAACTAATTTTGGGATATAGAAAAGTAGAAAATTGATGGCAGGAAAAAAAACCTATTGGGCATCGAATCTGCCCTTTGAGTTTATTTTTATATTTTTTGTCAGATGATGGACATGTGTTTATCCCAAAGCGTGTTCAAACTCAGTTACCGATGACTGACCCATTAACTCTGCTGGAAGTTAGTTCCAAGCTTCCATCACTCTTGCTGTGAAGTAATGCTTTCTAACATTATTTTTGATCTTCCCTCCTATCAATTTGAAGTTATGTCCCGGTGTTCTTGATTTTTGCTTCATATTGAAACTATTGGATGTGTCCTGTTCTCCAGGGTGGTTGTGATGAACTAAAAATGTAAGGAGATCTTTTATCTGGGCTGCAGAAAAGTACTGAGAGAAGTCCAGTAAAGAAACTGATCAAGGGCAGAAGCAACGTAGAACTAAGGAGAAACTTCCTGACAGTTAGAACAATTAACCAGTGGAACAACCTGCCTCCAGAAGCGGTGAATGCTCCAACACTGGAAGTTTTTAAGAAGAAACTGGACAGCCATTTGCCCAAAATGGTGTAGGGTTTCCTCCCTGAGCAGGGGGTTGGACTCAATGACCTCCAAGGTCCCTTCCAACTTTATTATTATTATTATTATTATTATTATTATTATTATGGATCATCGCACAGTCAGCCAGATGTTCAGACTGGATTTGGCATTTTGTCTACCTATCGAGTCCTTACCCAGGACCTGGATAGGCAGATGTGGATGTTTGATGGTATTACAGATATCGTCGCAGGATGGAAGCAGTTCCTAGTAAGGCCGCCTTTTGCAATTGACTAATAGCGAATTTGTCAATGCCAATGGTGTTCAAGTGGTGCTCCAGTTGTTTTGGGATTGCACCCAAGGAGCCTATACTATTGGTACTACCCTTGCTTGCTTTTGCCACAGTCTTTCTATTTCTATTTGTAGGTCTTTGTATTTTGTTATCTTCTCCAGTTCTTTCTCTTCTATTCTGCTGTCTCCAGGCACTGCCACGTCCACTATCCAGACTTTTTTGTCTTTCTTATCGACAATTGTTAAGTCTGGGGTGTTATGTTGCAGGTGCTTGTCTGTTTGAATTCTGAAGTCCCAGAGCAGTTTAATTTTATCATTTTCTATGACTTTCTCTATTTTATGATCCCACCAGTTTTTGCTTACAGGCAAATGATATTTTTTGCAGATCTTCCAATGCACCATTGTTGCTACTTTGTCATGCCGCTCCTTGTAGTCAGTCTGTGCAATCTTCTTGCAACAGCTTACCAAGTGGTCCACTGTTTCTTCAGCTTCTTTGCATAGGCGGCACTTACTGTCTGTTGCTGTCTTCTCAATTTTGACTTTGTATGCATTTGTCCTTAAGGCTTGGTCTTGTGCAGCCAGAATTAGTCCCTCGGTCTCTTTCTTCAATTTTCCTGCTCTTAGCCATTGCCAGGTCTTGTTATTATCTGCTTTCCCAGCTATTTTTTTAATGTATTGGCCATGTAGTGCTTTGTCTTCCCATGCCTCTATTCTGTTCTTCATTTGGTCTTTCTTGTAGGCCAGTTTGGTCTCTCCAGTAGTTAGTAAGCCTTCCTGATATATTAATTTCAGTGCATCTTCATCATTGTTCTTCAGATATTCTTCCAAAGCCACTTCTTCTTCTTCTTCTTCTTCTTCTTCTTCTTCTTCTTCTTCTTCTTCTTCTTCTTCTTCTTCTTCTTCTTCTTCTTCTTCTTCTTCTTCTTCTTCTTCTTCTTCTTCTTCTTCTTCTTCTTCTTCTTCTTCTTCTTCTTCTTCTTCTTCTTCTTCTTCTTCTTCTTCTTCTTCTTCTTCTTCTTCTTCTTCTTCTTCTTCAGAAAGAAATAAAATGAGTCAGAAGGAGAGAAATTGTCTTTTGTTCTGTTACCAGTGATCCTAGTTCAACAGGGGTCACCCTTGAAAGTGTCTTGATAACAATAAAGATCTGGGCTCCAGAAGTTAAGAAAGTTCTCCAGATCTTCCTCTCGAAAGAAAGAGATAGTGAAGGAGGCTAAGAATGGAAGCATCCAGGAAGCATCCAGAAAACAACTGTTTAGCAAAAGAGACTTCCATCCCCCTCATCATTAAGTCATTAAAGATGTCTATGGAGATTATCAATCATATTAGTTATGATTATCCTAAAGGGGCTGTTTTCCAAAAGGCAACTGGACTTTCAAAAAAGCAGTTTGGGACAAATCAGTAAGAAATTCTCTGAAATAAAATGTGATTTGGAAGAGAAAAAAAAAAGATTGAATATCCTTTGTGTTTTCTTATCTTCACAGGAAGGGGCTAAATATAATGCCCAACCATACAGTCATTCTGGAATTCATTCTCCTGGGGATTCCCCACACCGAAGACCTGCAGAACATCCTGTTTGTGGTCTTCTTGTCCTTCTACCTTCTCACGTTAACTGGCAATCTACTTATCCTCACGGCTGTCATTTCGGACGCCCGCCTCCATACGCCCATGTACTGGTTCCTCTGCAATCTCTCTGTGGTTGATCTTGGCTTCTCCTCCATCAGCACCCCAAAATTCTTGGCCAACCTTTGGGCAGGGAGCCGCATCATCTCTCTGGGTGGCTGCATGTGTCAGGTGTTCTTCTACCATTTCTTAGGAAGCACCGAATGCCTTCTCTACACCGTCATGGCATATGATCGCTATGCGGCCATCTGTCACCCACTGCAGTACTCCATCATCATGAATCGGAAAGTTTGTGCCCTCCTGGCAGCTGGCACCTGGTTCACCAGCTCCTTCCATGCCACTATCTTGACCAGTTTGACCTTCACGCTACCCTACTGCCGGTCTA